ACTAACGTTTTCACCACCACACCATGCAAGCCCTTCGTTTCACATATCTCTCAGCTAGTTTTTTATCGATCAGTGCCATCAGCAATCACCCGTCAACAAGACTGACAGAAAACTGACCAAAAAGAAATTAACATATTTTTGCCACAGAGAAGCTTTTCTTGGATCACATCTGGAACAGCATCTTCGTTGGATGAGCTATCGATTATACATAAAAAGTGTGGAAAATAAATCCTTTGCTGAGATATTTGCAAAGCTCCGGACCACAGGTGTATGCGGTGGGGAACGAACACGCGCTGTTGTCCATACCGGTTGGTGTAGTGGTGAAGTGCGCTGCTCCCCGGTATGGACAACAGCGCGTGTTCGTTCCCCACCGCATACACCTGTGGTCCGGAGTTTTGCAAATATCTAAAATATAGGCAGTGGTAAAGCGTATGTATTAAAATCACTACCTGCAGTCCTTTTTGCCCATTAAATCATTGCAACGGATTAAAAAAAAGCAGAAAAAGCACTTCTGGGAAAGTGACGGGGTTTCTTACGTTTCTGCAGCAAAAATCTTAATGAGGAACATTCAGAATATTCAGAGAGCCATTATTCAATCTGGATCTGCGACGGCACCTTGGGCAATTGAACCTCGTGATGTGGCATTGGCACGTACTGTTGTACTCTACAACGCGATGAAATGTGGTAACATGAGCCTCCAAAATCCAGATTACGATAAGATTTTGGACTGTTTCCAGCGAGCCAACGCTGATTTGATAAGGTGACATATGTGAATATTTCCGTAGATTTCATTATATTTTGTTGAAAACGACTGAAATGAGTGAGTAAAAGCCTGGTGAAACTAATAAATTTCAAAAGAAAAAAAACTGTCTAGTAACTTTGTTGTGACGCTTGTTGTAATTATAAATTAATGTGAAACATTTGTGCTGACTTGTTTACATCAAAAATCAATAGAGCTTCGCGTTCTTTCTTGTGGTTTCCTTGAGATCTCTTCATAGGGATGTCCGAGTCTACCATGATCACTCTGTCATTCAGTTCAAAATCTTGTTCTCACTATTTTTTGTATCGTTTATAGCAAACATGTTAAATACTCACACGAACAAAGAAGAAAGTTAATAGAGTATCAAGCTAATGGATTTAAGTAATCTATATAATTTTGAAAAATGTAAGCGTTTATTAGGAAAGCTATTCCAAATCGTGATCTTTACACGTTAGTGAACGTGTATAGCGCAGCTGTTATTGTCGTTCAGTAAGCACATGGGCTGTGCATCAAACTTGCGTCCCGAAAGCGAATCCCTCTCTAATTAAGTGAACTGAGGAAAATTGATAACAGAGCTATTTGAGACCAGATGAACACTGACGCAGAAAACCAACCGCTCATTGCGCAGATTAAATATGCATTCAGTCACTTCTATAGCGTTTAGTGATGTCAAATGCGTGATGCATCTTTAAAAGATTGGTGAACGACAGGCGCTTTGTTGTGCACCATTTTATCCGTTTGGGTAATTCTGTAAAAACAATATTCTTCTTATTTAGAGAAAATGAATGGGCTCCCGTCCGTGAGTTTGCCGATTTTCCATGGGTTCCAGTCGTGGACGGAGATTTTCTGGTTGAAAGTGCTCAAACTTCGTTGAGGCAAGGTGAACATCATTGTTTTGAGCAAGCGCTCATTGACGCAGTTGTGTTGTAAAATGGTCGTCGTTATTGTTTCACATCTGATGAGCCTGATCTTTTTTAGAGAAACTGTTGAAGCAGACATATGCTTTCACTTATCATCATATTTTGGGAAAATGGTGATAAATCGTAACTTGATGGTGAAAAGAGTTAATGTGCTGGCTTACCAAACTGACCACTTGGTCTTATGTTGGCAATAAAATAAAACCCATATGCTTTCATTTGTCCTCATCTTTTAGTGAAGTGGTGATAGGTCGTGACAACGAAACTTGATAATGAAAAAAGTTGATGAACGGACTTCCCAAACTGTCCTTTTGGAGTTATGTTGCCAATTAAATGAAGCATAAAATAGACGATGCATATTATAAAAACACTTACTTCGTAGAAAGGAAAAACAAACAAGATAAAAGCAAATGAAACATCTAGGACTGGAAGAGATTAGATGGCGTCACGGTCATTCATTCATATTTCCTTTTGAAGTTCATCGAACCATCTCGGCGAGTTCAATATGTGTAGCGATACCACTTCGATGTAATAAGTGTGCGTTTTCTAGGAAATTTCAAACACACTCAACTTCTTGCTGGCAGCAATCTTGATGAAAGCATGTACTTCATCATTTACCAGCTTACGGTAAGCTACACGAAGATTTGAAGGCGAAAGTTTCCTAAATTTTTCCGTTTAGAAGTGTTTGCCAATGCATTCGTTGTAGTTTCAGAAAAGGGTCTATTAGCAGAACGATTTATTTCAATCTGAATACCTTTTATATGAAACATTGTTTTTCTTCTAACTGTATGCCTTAAAAAAATTCTTTCTTTCTCCGACATTCGGTCAAATCTGCCTACAACATTTTCAGTGAACTGAACAGCGTTTGACACTTAATAATCTATTATTGATGTACATTAATGCTTTATTAATCGAAACGCCTCTAGAGTATCTTTCCCGTGCAAGATTTTTTCACAAAGAAGGATTTTATTCCGGATAGACATACTTGGCTGAAAGCTATTTCTGATCTTCTTCCACGACAAATGATTAAAAGCCAGTTGGCATTAGCAGCAATACTACATGAATACGAGCCTGCAAATCTTCCAGGTATGTAAGATTTTGTGCTTTTATGTATTCTAGAATAATAATCTTATCTGGTATTAAGTGGGATTCTCACTGATTGAACTAAATGTTGCTATCTACCGAAATAATAAGCAGTCTAGTTTCGATCCCGCAATATTATTAATCAATTTTGAAATGTGGAATTCACTTTAATAACCGCTCAGGTGTAAGACGATGAAGTGGCTACAGCAGTGATCATTATTACCAAAAAGACGACGACGATTTTTTCCTGCTCTGATTAATGGTTACGCAGCTACTCAGTGCCTTACGGCATCTTCCAGTTACCTCGAGGATGATTGAAATATGTCCTACGACGACATTTCCTCTGTGCCCAGACAATGTATGCCGCTTCATCTAGACCAACAGTTAGATTGAAGTGCCCCGCCAACGATTACGGTTGAATACTGCTGTGCTCTTATTGTCCAGCGGAAGGACCTAGAGAAGCAGTAGACTAAGCGTGGTTGCATGCTGTTCTTCTGATGAGTACGCCAAATGGTTACGGCTTTGCAGAGTTTCCTTCCAGAGTTCTAACGGAATTTTTATACAGATTATCGCTGTTGTTTCTAATCTATAAAAATAACATTCTTGAAAGTTGTGTAGACCCGCGCTTCCCATAAAACGTCGTAGTGGAATATTTCAATTCTAGGATTTTGGTGCTACATTGAAGCAATGTGTTTTCGGATTATTTCGCGTTCAATGCTCATCATTAGCTTTTTCGGATTTGATGAGGATCTTGTAATGACATAAAACTTGTTCATAAAATATTTTTTGTAGCGATTTTGAAAACATGACGATCATATTCCAGTATGTTTTGCCACTCGAATAGTGAGTTAAAAAATAGTGAATAAGTGAATGAACACTCCCCGTTTAAGGAATTACCTATCATTTAAGGATTTTTAAAAATTTTTTCCTGCTTTTTTGGTGGCATCAGCAACTACTCCATAAGGAAAACGACCCATATTTTCTGCATATTTTTTTCACGGTAGGGTATTAGGTGAAATACAACCATAAGGGTGCTGAGATATGAGTAAAACTCGGAACCACATTTTCGAACCCGCGACCACTCTTTCTGGGAGATCACGTACTACCCACAGTATCGGCCAAGGCCCTTGAAGTAAAGTTGGTACGCTGTGATTTCAGCTACAGCTTCAGCTCTGCTGGGTTCATTGCCGATTTGTGCTTCCCAGCACAATTCCGTTGAAGACTGATTGCTGATAGCACAGATGGAGCAAAAATACGAAAACACGGCTGAGAGAATAGCAAAACAAAGACTTCGGTTGGTGCGGTGGATAGCACGTGAGCCCCTGGTAAGGATAATCGCAGTTTGGAAGGGCAACGGTGGTTCTGAGTTTCGCTCATATCTCAGCATCCTCGTGGTTTCCGTATCATTTACATGGTACAAGATGCAGGTACTCTTTCTACAACTTGTTTAACACATTCGCAACGAGGCTGGTTTTTCACTAACAGACGATAATTTTTCCATCACTACAGGTTCAAAGGCTTCAGTCTGCATACAGTGAACAAGTTTTACTTTGTCGCACCAATAACCTATATAATATTTACCTAGTGTTCTATAAAATTTAAAGATGTTTAAGACTGAAGCATCAAAAAATCGGTAAGGAAATTTGATTTTTCCAAAATCCAACTGGAGATCAGCAATTGCAAACATAACCGATACCTTGGGAACGCCATCTTGCATTCTTGAGCGAAATCGTGCTTATTTATTTATTCTAGTCATGGAAATGATGGGTTCGAAACAAAAAAAAATAGGGGAAATATGTATCATAAACCGTAAAAAATAAAAACTTTAAAGCGGTGAATTAGAGAACTCTTGCACTATAGGCGAAGTGGATTGGTAGGTTCTAGCCGTTTTTATAGCAATTAGTAAAATTTACTACCAGAGGAATGTAACCCATCATTTTCACACTTTACGACTCCTATAGACGTCACGTCATGCCGAATATGTTGCTATCGGTGCTTCATCCTATTTCCGCAGAGCTGAAGTATTCAAAGTGTGTGCTGGAAGAAGAAAAATCGCAGTGCTAAGAACGCGATCACGATGTCGAATTATTCTCGTTTTTTTTGTTCTAATTTTTCACCTAACCAGATATTGGAAGCCGTCTTAAATGTTTCAAGGGATTCTCTTACTCACGCTCACTTCCAGAATTAAGTTGCTTAAGTTGTTTCTCATTTCGATTTTACACCAAGGATTTGCAACCAAACTTAGCCAAACTGAGCAATTGATTTCGGTGAGCTGGGATATCAGAATTGTTTTTGTGAGTTCCAACCGAATTCCGACTTTCCAACTCATGCTATCAGAGTCGCTCAACATTCTTTCCACCTAGGTAATGCTTAATTTTCCCAGAGCACTGCAATCAGCAAGGCCAAGATGGTGCAGTGTAAAGCTCTTCACTCTCACCACTTTGTTACTCCACTTCGGTTTTCTCTCTTTTCTGTAGTGTGCAGTACTGCTGACTTTCCAATAACCGTGAAATCAACATTTTGACACGCAATTTGTGAAAAACACAACCAGTATGAGGCTGAGAGCTAGCAGCAGGTGCTTCACATATATGAAGGTGAATCAGTCTTGAACAGTGATACGTCATTGGCGGCCTGGCATTTGGACCGTTGGAAAGGATAGCAGTTGAGTTGGACATTGTCTTTCTGAGCGCTGCATGACGATCATTTTAGTTTTGTAATTGGTGAAGTCTATGAAGAACGCACACATTTACGGAATTTTTAGCGCTCTCTAGAAGACTTTTTAGATCAGCGGATTGTACTTTTCATCAATGTTGTGAGCAGGTTATTATCAGAAAGCCAACTATAATGAGTGAAAAATGGTGGTTTGAGGATGAATTCTGCAGCTTTGTGTTCTCTTTAAGACAGTAGTGAATTCTGTAGAAGAGAATAATATTTTAATACCGTGCACAAGTTCTAGATAAGCAATATAGCCTTGGGAAAAGCATTAACTTGCCACAACGGAATTCTGTCTCATATGGTGTCCTCGGCTTGAATGCTCCCATGTGCAAAGTAGAGAGGAGGGCTTCTGCAACTGTGAATGACCCTGATCTCGTTTTTCGCACTGATGATTATATTAAGCGCAGATCGCCTCTTATTATACTCATTTCGTTCTGTTCTGCACTGCTGATATGACTTCTTCAGACATTCACTTTGGGTCAACCATAATAATGTAACCATTTGTTACTACGTAGAAGATACGATCATTTTTGTAGAACTTTTCAAGTCCATACAGAATTTCCTAACCTAACCGCTGTCACAGCTTAACAACAGGATGTAAGCAACTAAAATGGTTAAAGTCGATATTCGTCCATATCTTTTCAAAAACGAATGTCCTATTTAGATAGTTAGTCATTCAAGGTAATCGATGTTCTTACCAGAAATCGTGTTGAAGAAGACACTAACACTGCCTGTTTCACCACTGTCATATGTTCTTGCCAAGAATTCTACTCTTATAAAATAAACAACGTTATAGAGCCAGTGTTTTCCTGTCTTGGCTTCAGCAATAAGGTCATTCTTGATTTTCTCATCCTAAATCACTGGGCAGTCGATGCGGAAACTCGCTACGTTTTAAGTACAAATTGGAGTACAGTTCTTCAATATACGGGCATCTGAAGTGGGCATTTTACCAGCCTATCCATGTTAGTTCGGCTCAATGTCCTTTTCCCGTGGGCAAGAAAACGAAACCAGTTTTTTGAAAATATCTTTTGTGGTTTTCAACGGGTAGCTTCTCGAGCTCCGACTTGAGGGTTGTATTCTCTCGATTGTAGCTTGTCCAGCTTTGTAGTATAGACGTATAGATAAATTGTTGTAGATAATTCCTAACTACTTGGCCAGCGCCCATCTATATTCGTGGATAATTTCTGGTCCGCAAGACGCATAAGTAAATAGAAACCTATGGATAACCTGAAAACATGCACTTCCAGTTTTTTCTTGATAAACTCTGTCTTTTCAGTTAAAGCAAATGACTGGATGGATTCAATGGAGAAGATGCTAGGCGATTATCACTTTACTTGCAATGTCAACGAAATGGCACTTGCACACACTAAACACGGTGGTGATACCTACTACTATTATTTTACTCATAGGTTTGTCCCCACCTTCCATGTTGAGTGCTTTTTTTCATTTTCCTCTATTGAACTAGGTTTTATTCTCTGAATCTTCAACGTCTTTTAAAATTTCACTTATAATACACAGAGCAACCGCACAGACATGGCCAGAGTGGATGGGCTGTTTACATGGCTACGAGATCAATTTTATTTTCGGTGAACCTTACAACAAGAAATTCAATTACACAGCTGAAGAACAAGAGCTTAGCAGCAGATTTATGCGATACTGGGCAAACTTTGCCAGAACGGGGTGTGTTTAAACCTAAACAATAAATGAAATCAATGATACTTTTTCAGTACAAAACCGATTTTTGTATAATTTCTTTTAATCTGTGCATAATTTTTCATTTATTCAGTGATCCGAATAAAAATGAAGACGGCACATATACGGCTGATGTATGGCCAAAATATAATTCTCAATCTATGGAGTACATGAATATGACAGTTGAGTCTGCATATTCTGGTTCTCGTCGGACTGGTCATGGTCCTCGACGAAAACACTGTGCATTTTGGAAAGCGTACTTGCCAAATCTTATGGCAGCTGTCGGTAAGAATTCAGGGATTTCTACGTTGATTGTTACACACGATGAGTAGGATGAATGGGTTTTCGCTGCGATTTTACTGTTCCATAGATGAATGTTTATAATTAGATGGTTGCTTGGATACTTGAATGAATCACCTTCACCACTCGATCTCAACATACCAATATTTTTTCACTGGAGCGTTCTTCTTCACATGGTATTCCTCAAAAATTGTGCTAGGGGTTCCCACGTGTTCATATGGCAGTGATCGATCTCCATTGTTTCGAGAACAGTGTGTCGGTTTCTGAAAGGTCTGAAAACCACATGATGGCCTCCCACATGAAATTGAGACCTCTAGGTGCTCTTTTGATGAGATGAATGAATATCTAGCTCAACATGGTGATCTTTGGGTGGTCGTATCACGAGACTAAATATTCAGCTTTACAGTTCAATGTGACATTCATGAACCTCAAATCAAGAACAAGTGGTAAACCGTGGAAGGCTGATTCATATATTATAACTAACTGTCGCATTCAAATCGTTGGTCCTTTTCCTTTCGTTAGACATAAAACGTGGCTTAACATTTAGTCCTAAGCTGTGTAACCACAGATAATACTACGTTCATCCATTTCACTCACACCGTGTTGTACACACTTAGAAATGTTCTCCTGAAAAAATACTGCGAAATTAGCTCGTATGATCAGGTACCATTTTTCAGCTGATGTTGGAGATCCGTTCTTGCTCTGGAAGCAACAAATGGACAAATGGCAGAATGAGTACATCATAGATTGGCAGTATCATTTTGAGCAGTACAAAAAATACCAAACATATCGTCACTTAGATTCTGATACGTGCGACGGAGCATGAAAAATTTATTATCACTCTTATCTAAGCTGTTGAAAATGTTTCGCGGATAAAAAACGTTCCACATAGAAACGATGGGTTGAAGCAGCCAAATTTTTCCTTAATCAATGTTTTCGTTTCTCCTTCTTGTTATATGTATGGTGATGTTCTTATATTTTGGTATTATCTCTACGCACTTGATTACCCCTACACAGAGACACTTATATTCATATTTTCTCTTACGAGAATGACCAATTCATGTTGATCCTCTTTCCTCTGTTATGTCATCTTTATTTTCGCGTTACAATAAGCGTTATGACAAAAGCAATCTCTTAAAGACGAATTAAAATGGATACGAATCATACATTCCATACGGGCAATTGAACTTTTTCAGTTGAAGTTGGTTAGCAAGCATTAAATGGTAAAGCAACTTAAACAAGTAGTTTCTGTAAAATATATATGTACCTCTTCCTTCAGTAACTAGTCGCTAATTGCTTAACGTTTCCGTTTCTGTATGTTTGTATATAAAAGTTATCCTTTCGAACTGTATTGTTACCAGAAGTACATACAATTCCACACTTACTAGGTTATCTCAAAGAAACTTTTCAAGTATTGTTGATCCTGCCGCAAATAAACGGTCAACGAGGCTTTACTATTATGGCTCATCTCTTAAGTTGTTTACCACTAATAGCATGTATTGTTAAAACCGATTCTGAACATTTTAATTTTGCCATGGTTTTCCAATAAAGATGTCAAAGGAGAATAAATCGCTCCGAAACTCACAACAGCCACCGCTGCTTGTGGATCGGAAAGAAATTTGCCATTATACGGTTAACTAAACTAGTTACCAGGTCTACAGTGACTTCTGACATTCTTTTGCTCGTAGTTGAAGTCTTGCAGGGAAATGTCGAATTTTTTCTTAGCCTGGAGGGCTGTCCTGGTATTCAACTCTTACTGCAACAAATCCAACATTCTGAGATAACTCAGCAACCACAATGAGGTGGTAAACCCCTATAGGAATGCGGTACATTCATTCCCAATCGTACGATAAAAATAAAAGCGGGCGCGTGTAACACTGTGGTTAGAGACGCCCTGGAATACACGTGGGTTTGAGCCCATGCCTCAGGCTCACCAAGTGTTCCATTTATCCGGAGTAGGTAAATTCGCAGCAGACCTGTCTGAGAGGATAGCTGCGCATGTTCATACATCAGTGGATATTTTGAGTCTCAGTATAGGCTAGATATGCATTCCATCAATTTCAGTTCTGCATAATCGAGTCGAATATGTGGCGTATCTCTCAGAGATTGATCAGCACAAGGACCTTTTTTACACTAAAAGTGAAATATTAAGTAAATGCAGGAGTCTAATATCAGCCTAATGCAATGCGGGTAAACAGCCCCTCCCCCTCTCCTGAGTGTAAGCTCTTTTCAAAGCAAATATATTATGGGTCGGTCTTCTCCTTTGTCGGGTGTTAAACAACGTGAATTATGAACATGAGATACCTCTCACACGTAAACTCAGTAGTCTTAAATATCTGGTATTATTAAGTCCTGAGGAAAGATGGTGTGCAGCGTTTAAATTACAGTGCAATTTTCACATGATATCATAGTCCCGGCGTACAGAACATAATATTTCGTGTAATAACTATAACTATTTATGGGCATACACCGATAAAACACAACCTTCTGTCCGTTATTCTAAAGGGTTTTTATTTGCTCTTCTTCTTTGATATATTCGCGACGTGCTGCTTGAGTCACAAGCGATTCATGCTGTCGGAAGTGCCTTTCATGTCTGAGTCATATGCAGCTTATATCGTCGCTATGTATTACCATTAGTGCCATTCCACCGGAGTTTCAATCATTTTCTTTTCTGTTTTTTGTATGACCCGCCTTCACGTCTGCTGTGCGAATCCCAGCACTTCTCACATTCGATTCGTTTCCTCGCATCCGTTGACCACGAAGACCTTCCAACTTTTACGTGTGGTTTCGCTTGATACTTGAGAATTTTCGTTTCACCGCGAATGTCGCAGAATGCTTGTCGAGCAGCATTTCTCTCTGGTGTCCTAAGATAGCCAGTCTGGAGCGCTCCCAATCAGATTGAAAAAAGTATTTTTCTCCCAGACAAGTCTGGTACAAATTTCCCTACTCCCGACGGGTGAGAGGTTTGGTTGCCCGGAGTGGAATCAAACTGGCACCATGCTCGTGATGATGGACATCACTACCACTGTGGTACCCCCACGCTCGTTTCAAGCATTACGGTTCATTATTATAAAATATATTTATGTGGAACTATCGAATGCTATAAGTGGTTGGCTTTTTTTTTACAGTCTTTCCGAAATTATTTCACATATGCCAAGAAATACTTCATTAAAACCCTCCATTCGCTATGGCGCGCCATTTTTATGGTTGGTTCAATGGAATATGAGCAATATTTCATTGGCTGCAGACTTTCTCGTTTTTTGACAGTAAAAAGTAGTCCCTCAATAATTAGAGGGTCCTAGGAGTTATGAACATAAAGAAACTGCCGAAACGACCTTGCTCTATTCTTCCTGGGGTGGATATCTCGTACTTACATCTCCTCATTCCTAGCTTTGGTTTTGCCTTTTTTTATACATTTCCTCGTTTCGTTATCATTCAAATGATCCTTGTTTTCTTTGACGCTCTCAAGCTCACTGTTCTACAGCTCCGCTAAATACTGATTTGTTATCAAGTCATTTAATGTTCATTAGTTTTTATCAAATAAAACAGCAGTAAAGCACCATCATTGTTGAACTTAAACAATACAAAGGCAGTAGTTCTTATAAGGCAGGCTGATCACAATCCGAGCATTCTTGTAATAAATAAGAATGATATCGATAACTAAAAAGAAAAGAAAGAAATGAAATCATTGTAACCGAATAAAAGAAAGGTTTGTCAGCGAGTTCATAATGAGAACAACATACATAGAAATCGAATAATGTAATGCTATTTGGCAGTATTGATTTGGGCATGGTATGGAGATGAGTCACATGTACATAATTATTTATGTAAATGAGACTTAAATGAAAGCTACTTTAACGAAAGATTTAGTGGCGACCGTCCGTTGACTTAATACACACTTGGCATCGTGAGACACGTGTACGCAAACTGCCTGACTTTAATGTCTGACTCTCAGGAATCTGAAAAAAGCCATCAAATCGTAAAAAAAGACCAAAAACTCTTTGATGTCAATCAATATCCAAGCAAATCTTTGTACATTCGACTCCATCAAACATTGTTAAGATGACTGAATTCGTATTTGGAATACGATCCGATCCCAGGGTGTTAGTATAGAATTGGTTATCATGGCGCGCCGGATCGATACCAATCTTGTCTGTATTGCAGGACGACACTAAGTACTGTGGCTCAAGTTCCATGGAAAAGAACGGTTATTGTCATTAAATTAAAATCATAAAAGTACTATTCACTCATTAGAACGTTTGTGATGGAGAATTTTCATTTTTACTTCCACACTTCAGCAAATAGAGGCTACGGTGAGCAATTTATTGGAGAATGGATTACTATATATTCAGAAAACTTCTTGTCCGTTGTGGTTAACTGCCCCAGAAACTACCTTTTACTGCAAAATCGCAACTACGGATATAATTTTGAGGTGTTTTGCTATTACCATGCATTTTGCATGCATTTCTTTTCTGCTTGTATTTAAGTGATAAAGGCAGGTATTACTTACTTACTTGATACTTGAACGGCCCGTCCTCATTGGATGTGCGGCCTCCAGCATAATCTCCGTTTTTTGGAAAGTTGCTTATTAAGCTATTATGGTTCCCAGGAATCCCGAGGTCGGCATGGGCAAAGTCTGCCCTAGGTCTTCACCATCACAGGTAGTCGCAGTCTTTGCGTATCAGAGGGAAATTTGCCACCATGCTACTTTGATAGCACGACGGTGGTGGATATTCGTACTGGTTTACTCCTAGCTAGGCTTCCTGTTGGAAATACCCGACTCCTCAGCTTGAGAGACCTTGCGAGAGGGACGAATCCCTCGTTGTACATCGCAGTCCGACACCCAGGAACACCTCCCAGCCACGATGAGGAGGTAAATCGTTGGGAGGCCGCAGATATTTACCACTGTATTAGACAGGTTTTATGGATTCCTCTCATGTGGGAGATTTAGAGGAGTTTGGTGGAGATACTACGACACACATGGTCAACTGAAAGGCAAAGCTGTGGACTAAACCCTGAAAACAGTCCTTCACTATCCAAGAGACGCCACTGTGTCCATGTAATGGAATGGCACTTTGCCTCTATTGTATGGAGTTGACTTATGCCTTACCTATGTAGGCAATGATATTTATGCAAGACCATGGGTGTGCTTAAATGTAAGCGGTCTGTGTCTAGCACAACGTAAAGGCCGAATGTCCTTAAACAAATTGCGAAGTAGGTGGGACGCCGTCGGTATAAGCACTAGGTCTAGACCAAGTGAACACGCAAGATACCCGTAAGTGTGCCCAGTTCGATTATAAAACACTGAACGCTACTCTTTGGATAACGTTTTGACAAAATCAGTAAAAAAAGAAATTGATAGTGCTCTTAGTCTCTCTTGAGAGAATACCGCCCGCTAGATAGCAAGGGTATGTAACACGGACGAATGGAGATTTTACTGGTGGTCGCATGAATCACATGATGACTAACTGTATTACAAGAGACTCTGACGTTATGTTATGCTATTAAAAGAACAGAAACACTTCGGAACCTCTTTTCCTACGAACAATTGGTTGTTTCCATTTAGAAACGTTGCCTAGCATGGATCTAAAACTTCAACAGCCACATGAAGTATTGGAATGTGAAGACACTAACAGAAGAACAAGTGGAAAGCAAATAAAAAACGCAAAAAATTGAATTACTTCTGTTGCTTTCAAATGAGTTGTTTAGCAAACCATAAAATGAACGAAGAGCGACCAGTCCCTATATTTGTCGAGTTACCGACAAGAAATCTATGCCAGCGCCATACCAAAGAACTATTCTGCACCCCTATTTAATCGAAGTCAATCATGATTTCGTAGCATAGAATGCAGAAGTGTGGGCATTACTTTCTGTATCATAATTGGTAAATCTTATGAAACAACGATGCTTCTCAAATAGCATTATAGGCGATAAAGTGAACGATAAGGGAAAAATGCTTAACCGACCTTAAATTCTTGATCGTTGTCGATTGTTGTGAGCCAGAAGGAGAATTTATTGGCAAAGTAGTGGCATGTGCCTCGTGCACCGTTGCATTCAATAAATGGTGTAGCTCGGAAATCCTCTAGACATGAGCCCGGTGAACTGAAATGTGTTTTGATTCAGTTCTCTTTTATCAGTAGAAACGTTAGTGCACAATGAATGAATAGGCATCTCCTAAACTTTCCCATGGCGATCTGATAAGCCGTATGTAAAAAACATATGCTACGCTATTATCCCATGTAAACGCTCGCGACTACAGTAATATATGTACACCTCGCCTTATCAGATTACATTGTCTGAGAAACATTCCCACACTTCTTGTTAGCAAACTATGTCTTCATCCATTCTAGCCTCACCACACCTATCATTAAACGAATACAACCAGCTCTTCATTTAACTCGGTCAATTCACCCAGTTAGTTCAATTCGATCAATTCGTCCAACCAGAGCCCTTCCATTTCGCTTCGCGTACTTCGCTTCGCTGTTACTGTGCTGTTATTTTGGATACTTTAGTTATAAAAGTTATAACCCAGTTTCTCAAGGCGTTCGACTCAGCGACTTCCACACAGAAAACTCGCGTGGAAGCTACAAGGACTAATATTTCCAATTATCTGGTATTTATATAAAGTTGTGAACGCCACAACAAACTGATGCATCGGTCAAATCACGGGATCAAGCGAGCCACACTCAAGTACGTTACCTTCATTATAGAAAAAAACAAAGCATAACTACTGAAGTCCCATCATGCCGTCCCGCCTAACACTGGCAAGTCGCAAGCGAACACTCGCAATATACCGTCCAATTAGAAGAAGTTCTAACGCGATTCAAAGATGTGCATTTAGAAATGGTAAGCATTCAAAACCAACAGGACGAAATAATACCCACCTTCATTCACAAGAGCTTACAGCAGATGGAAGAAAGGGTTGCAGCCTTAGAAAGCATGACCTCACAACTTCAAAATGCACTGGACGAACTCGCTACAGCATTCAAAAAAAACGTAATCTACGCTATCAAACATAGACCAAGAGTTCGAACAATATTCGAATGCGGCAGAAGAAGCAATTGGCAAAACGTTCGACTATCTCATACCTCTCTACGCTCGGATTAAAGACCTTAAAGTTAACGAGGAGCGTGCCAACACATCAAACAAACACTCCACTCCAAACAGTGGACATGATGAAGTTATGAACACATCGATTCAGCTACAACACTAATATTCCCAACTACTTGGTATTCGTATAAAGTTGTGAGCGTCGAAACAAAACCTGAGTGATTGTCCGCCACCCTCAGCACCAGCTCCAGTATGCATTGCAAACGAATATCCAATCCACAAACTGTTCCATCCGGTCGGGCAGTTAGGAATTTGTATTGTTTGCGAGTGTACGGCAATAACATTAGCTGGCGCTTCACATACAGAACATCTGAGAAAAATTATGAGTAAAAACCTGTAGTTCCACCTCATAGCTAACATTGGTCAAAAAATATTTAAACTAGAAGCCCATATAAATAACACTGGTAAAAAAAATTATTAAGGGACTAACAGCTCATATAAACCTCGTAATTTATTGAGGACCAGAACAACATCGTAGAAAGATATTTGAATAAGTCAGCACTTGGCAATGACTTCACCGCTAACGGTGTTGCAATTTTACTTGTTCAGGATGTTCAGGACCTTTTTTCTCACGGTTAAGGGGTTGTTCTAGAAACTTGAAGGCATAGCGGAGGATTGATCCTAACAGGATCTCCTAAACTGGGAAGAACTTTGAAAATTTCTCACAAAAGCCCAATAAAGAGTATACCTTTAGTAGGGAAGAGCTCGTCTAAAGACTTGTTGTCAGCTTCTCCACAAACATAGTAAGAATAAAAATTTTGTATCAAAATCGTGAGGGCCTTCTTCTACCTCGGGTAAGCACAACTGAGTGAGTTAACTTACTTTAGGATTAGCGAACTGTAGTCGGACAAAGAGAAGGAACATCTTTTAAAATGAATCCTTATATATTCCTTCTTGATAAGCTAGCACGAGGTTGATAAATATATTTATTTTCGGCTAACGTTTCGACGTCTTCGTCTTCCTCAGAGCCGGTGATCCGAGTCGATGGTCCATGCTTGTTGTTCGCCTCGACGTTGCGTCTTCGCCTTCCTGTCGAGCCAGATCTTCCTCAGCGAGCCATCTTCTCGAATGAGGCATCCTCACTCAGTGATGCCCTTTTATACACGATGCTGATGGTGGATATATAATGACAATGTCCGGTGGTAACAACTTGTATTTCTTCCGGACATACATCATTGCGCACATCGTGCAGAGGTCGGTGTATTATCAGCTAGCACAAAGCGTAGTAATATTTCGAAACTGACCTTCCCTAAACCTCGGTGTGACTAATCAATATGTATTCCTTCTTGATAAGCTTGCACGAGGTTGATATGAATCCTTATAGTTATCAATGCCTTAAAATATGAACAAACCTTGAAATATAGCTCTCAATTTCGCCTTCACTAACAGGCATCATTGGGATTGGAGCGGTGGTGGAGAGCCAGTACGACTTATCGTTACGTGAGGCATAATTGCAGACGTTGTTGAAGTCGCAGAACAAAAACGGCATCGTGGAGAAGCGTTGAAGACATGAACCAGCATGACCTTAAAAGCAGATGTAATTTGTTATATATATATATATATTTTAAGTATTTGCTTCTCTGCCATTTCTCCTTTCAAATGCCACAGAGAAAAAAAGACCCACCAAGGTCTTGATTGTGCGATTTTTCGTTTCCTTCGATGTACAGCAGCGAGTAGCCATCCCACAATTTCGTTTGCCCTTCTGGACAACGAGGTATTTCGGTGGTTTGGGAATGTTTCACGAGAAGAAAGCCGTCTCGATAAGCCGGCCCAGCTGGTCCAGGTGCTCCAGGGAATCCGGGTTGACCAGGTCCTCCAGGCATTCCGTCAAGACCGGGCCTTCCAGGTAAACCAGGCATGCCTTTCTCGCCAGGTAGACCTGGTTGACCAGGAAATCCATCGCTTCCACGTGATCCAGGTTGTCCAGGAGGTCCATCAAGACCAGGTGGTCCGTCGAGACCTGGTAGTCCTTTTTCTCCTCGTATTCCGGGTAGACCTGGGAGACCCGGCTCTCCTTTAAGGCCAGGCGCACTGATACTACTTGGGCCAGGCTGTCCAGGAGGTCCTTGAGGTCCATCAAGACCTGGTTTTCCTTCACGACCTGGTAGCCCAGGAAATCCTGCTTCTCCTTTCATTCCTGGCAAACCAGGCTGACCAGGAAGGCCTGGCAAGCCACTTTCTCCCTTTTGGCCCGGAAATCCAAGTAAGCCAGCTTCACCTAAAATGGAGAAACATATACATATATATTGAATAGTGAAAAATAGGAAGATCTTTTTTGTTTAGGAATAGTAACGATGTATCAAGAAAGATCTGTAAACTAGAAAGCAAAAAGCACCTTTCAATCCTGGTAGGCCTGGCATTCCTGGTGGTCCTTGAGGTCCAGGCATACCTTGTTCTCCTTTGAGGCCAGGGAGGCCGGGAAGGCCGTCTTTTCCGGATGCTCCAGGAAAACCATCGTTACCTCTCTTTCCGGGGATACCTGGTATCCCAGGTTCTCCTTTTTGTCCTGGAAAACCTGGCAAGCCGCTTTCTCCTTTCAAACCTGATGCTCCAGGATATCCTGGTAGACCAGGTTCACCCTTGAGACCAGGTAAACCAGGTAGACCGTCTTTTCCGGGGAATCCTGGGGGTCCAGGTGGTCCTTGAGGTCCAGGAAACGCTTGTCCTAAAGAACAAATAGTGCATACTTAAACTATTACAACTTCTTAATTAATTACAACCTTAATACTATTTAAAAAAATGGGGTAATTAGGAGCAAACTGAAGTCAGAATTTAATGTTGACGGAGAGAAAACATCAAAACATTCGACGGTAATAGTTAAATCGATGTAAAACTTCATTTTGGACGAATAGGATTCGTTGTACTCACCTGGAGCTCCTGGCAATCCAGGTAAACCTGCCGTTCCTTTTTCTCCAGGGCTTCCATTTAATCCATCACGACCTGGCAGTCCAGGAAATCCAGCATCGCCTTTTAGCCCGGGCAAACCAGGAGGTCCACTCGGTCCAGGAATTCCTTCCATACCTTTCAATCCGGGGAATCCAGAAGCACCTGCATCACCCTTAGATCCGGGCACACCAGGAAGTCCTGACTGTCCTGGAAATCCTTGGTCGCCTTTCATTCCCGGGATACCATCGAGTCCGCGATCTCCTGGTAGTCCAGGCAGGCCAGCTTGTCCTTTATCTCCTCGAATTCCAGGAGCACCTACTGGCCCAGTCGGTCCAGGTCCGCCAGGTTGACCAGGGGCTCCGGGTGCTCCGAGTTCTCCCTTCAGGCCTGGGAGGCCAGGAAGTCCATCTTTGCCTGGTAGACCAGGTTGACCAGGAAAGCCCTAAATGAGTGTTTTAGGAAAACCAATATGGCGCATTTGGTGAAAATTTCACAGTAATCCTACTCTAAACTAACCGGTTCTCCTTTGAGTCCAGGGAAGCCTGGCAGACCGTCCTGTCCCGGAGGACCAGGTGGGCCCGGTCGTCCCATTTTTCCGGGTACACCAGGGAGACCTTTTTCACCATTGAGACCTGGTTGTCCATATCCTGGCAGACCAGAATCTCCTTTGGATCCAGGAAGACCGGGTAGTCCTGGTGGTCCAGGTGGTCCTCGAAGTCCAGGCTGCCCAGGCAATCCTTGATCTCCTTTTAACCCATCACGAGCAGCTGGTCCAGGCTCGCCTTTCTCCCCTGGAAGTCCGCTGAACCCACGATCTCCTTTCAAACCCGGAAGACCAGGGAATCCATCTTTTCCAGGTGGACCTGGTAGTCCAGTGTTGCCTTTCATGCCAGGTAATCCGGGCATTCCTGATAAGCCTGAATTGCCTTTCTCGCCATGTTGTCCGGGTAGTCCAGGCAATCCAGAGTCACCTGAAATAACTTCATTCTTTTCCTGCAAAAGTGAACGTTAGTAAAAATTACTTGCCTTTAGAGCCTGGCACTCCTGGTATTCCATTTAATCCTTTTTGCCCAGGATAACCAGGCGGACCCATCATTCCTGGTTGTCCGGGCGCTCCTGGTAGTCCAACATTTCCTTTTTGTCCGCTGGGTCCTGGGAGCCCTGGAAGACCGTCATCTCCTTTTTGCCCAGGTAATCCAGGCAAACCATCCATTCCGGGTATTCCAGGTACTCCTTCCTTTCCTGAAATGTGCAAATAGTAAAAGAAATCTCCCAAAAATATTAAAAACAGTGCTAAAAGTAGGTTTAAAATGCGGACAAAAAATAGGGCTACTATAAAGTTCTTCAGCTGTCTTTTGACTGGATAAAATCCATAGAAAATGTTTAGACAGTTAATTACTGAAGTGGTATACAATCGTTGCGTCTTCCCCTCAGCGTATGACTTGTTATAGTCACTGGAACTAATTTTGGAACCATACAAGCAGGAAAAACATAGATTTTCAGCTCAAAATACTTTTCGAAAAAGTAACTTTTAAAATTTTCATCTTCCATTTCCTAATTAGTTGTGATATCATTATTTCACATTACACCCACCTATGAAAAAACAATAGGCAGCAAATAAAAGTCAAAAAATTTTGATTTTACTTAATAACTCGAAAGACCGACTTTCTATGAACCTCGGCATAGATAGTTGATATATTTATTTATGTGATCACGTAATATCACTGCTCTGAGGAAGGCGAAGTCGCCGAAACATCAGCCATCGTTCAATAACATCAAAAACAACGACAACGAAGATCTGTACCAACCTCGCGTCAGCTTAAGAAGATCAGTTTATAAGATCACATAAATAAATATTTTGATTTCAACTACAGCTCCAATTTAACTTGATTCAATATCGATTTTTGGCCATCAAATCAATACCATGGACGGGTGATTGCCCATAGCACCATGAGAGTAAAAAATTAGGAAAAGCAAAGACTCTATACTAGACATCACGTGAGCTCCTTAAAGGGTAGTCGTATGTTCGAAGCTCAACTGAGATTCGATGTTCTGCTCATATTTCGGCGTCTTTATAGTGGTGATATCTTTGCAATTTCATGTTTTTGTGATTATCATAGAGTTTTTTATAAAAACTTAACCAACAAAAATTTCCATGAAAAGAATAGTTGGATTTACCCCAACATATTTTTCAAATTTCGCTAACGTTATAGAAACTGCAACAGTGAAAATTAAAAGTCAACAACATCGTGTAGGAACTACTAGGAACTATCAATTTCCATAAGTTCCACTATTATCAACCGGAAAATGTAAACAGAGTAAAAACTTTCCCGAATGTCCAACACTAATAGTGGATCCAAACTTAAAAGGATTTAAACCCCCAATGAAAACTATTCAAAGAAATAGGAACTCACCTGGAATTCCAGGCAATCCGGGTTCTCCTTTTGCTCCAGGATATCCAGGCTGTCCAGGTTGTCCAGGCAAACCAGAATCCCCTTTTAAACCAGGTGTTCCAGGAGTTCCTCGTTGACCATCAAGTCCAGGAAGTCCAGGCGGTCCAGAAAGTCCTGCATCTCCCTTGAGACCCGGAAATCCAGGTGGTCCAGGAGGCCCAGTCATTGATGTTCCCTGTTCTCCTTTCATACCAGGAAGCCCTGGTAGTCCGGGATGGCCAGGCTCTCCTTTAGGCCCTGGTATTCCAGGTAGACCGCTCAGTCCTAAAAAGTCAAAGCTTTAGTACACTATTTTTTTCTCTGATTTTACAGGCTTCGAAACACTTTCTTCTACCAAATAATGGTTTCTCACTAACCTGCAAAACCTTTCTCTCCCGGTATTCCTGGTATACCAGGTTGTCCTGGGGAACCAGGCAATCCTCTTTCTCCTTTACGTCCGTTTATTCCCGGCAAACCAGGCGATCCAACGTCTCCAGGTCTGCCCGGGTATCCAGCATCGCCCTTTTCTCCTGGTAATCCCGGCAGTCCAGGTCTTCCTGGTGCACCATCTTTGACCACACTCTTCGGAGCAGGTGGTCCTGGAGGGCCTTGTGGTCCAGGCAGACCAGGGATACCGGAGGGTCCGGTGTCTCCCTTTGGTCCAGGAGGACCAGGTAGGCCTGGTTGGCCAAACCCAGGTTCACCCTTCAGTCCAGGAAGTCCAGGCAGTCCGTCCTTTCCAGGTTTTCCAGGGATACCGGGCAGTCCTGGTTCACCCTTAAAAAAATTCAGTAGACCACATGCGCAATTAAAAGAAAAGCAAAATTAATGTTCATACTTTTTCTCCTGGAATTCCAGGTTGACCAGCAGGACCTAAAAGTCCAGGTGATCCAGGCAATCCATCTATTCCAGGCTGTCCTGGGAAACCTGGTTCTCCTTTCATTCCAGGATATCCAGGAGGCCCAGGCCGTAGAATAAGTTGTGTTGGTTCGCCTTTTTGTCCAGGTAGTCCTGGTAATCCATCAAGGCCTGGAGCTCCAGGCGCTCCAGGACGTCCAGGTGGTCCAGGTAATCCATCGTCTCCAGGATCTCCATTAGGTCCAGGCATTCCAGGAAGGCCACGATCTCCTTGTGGTCCGGGTAGGCCAGGATATCCTGGTGTTCCTTTCTCTCCCTTCATTCCAGGTGCACATAACGAGCATGTACCACCGCGATCTCCCTTCGGTCCAGGAATGCCCGGCAGACCGGGAATTCCGTCTCGTCCATCGTATCCTTTTGGTCCCATTGGTCCACGGGGACCAGGAGGTCCTGGCAGGCCATTCAAAGAGTCACCAGGTGGCCCTAAACACTAGAACTTCTAAAGAAGAAAAATCATAATTTGACATAAGCGCGACAAACACCAGGGAAATGCCTACCTCGAACTCCGGGAAGACCCTGTTCTCCTTTTCGGCCAGGTGCACCATCAAGTCCGGGTCGCCCGTCTTTACCGGGCAAACCAGGAATGCTTTGTCCAGGAATTCCACGAGCTCCGGGCTCTCCCTTTGGTCCAGGTGCACCAACTTGTCCAGAAGGACCGGTAACGCCAGGAGCACCAGGAATACCGCTATCTCCTTTATTGCCCTTCGGACCGGGTAAGCCTTCAAGTCCAGGCAATCCTGGAACTCCAGGACCTCCAGGTTGCCCTGGAGGACCAGGAGGACCAGGTTGACCAGGAAATCCATCGTTTCCAGGTGGTCCGGGGTTTCCAGGGCGACCTTGCAGCCCAGGTGGACCTGGGGGTCCATCGGTGAATGAGCCTCCCTAAAATATGAACAATAAATATCGAGAAAGAGTTGTCTTTTTTTCCTTCAATCAAAGCCATACACCAGGAGGTCCAGGAGGTCCAGTATTTCCTTTTGGTCCATCTCTTCCTGAATATCCAGCTTCACCTTTCTGTCCAGGCATACCAGGGAAGCCTGGCACTCCATCCAGACCACGATCTCCCTTGAATCCAGGAGGACCTGGATTTCCAGGTCGACCTTCTTTTCCCTTAATGGGAGATGAAAATAAGATCAAAACGATGACAAAATAGTTTGCAATGCGGATAATCACAAAAAAACCAACTCTCGGCCCTGCTGGTCCAGATAGCCCCTTTTCTCCTTTCATTCCGGGTAAGCCTGGCTGGCCTGGCAATCCTGCATTTCCAGGATAGCCACGAGGACCAGATTCACCAGGCTCTCCCTAAATTGTTGAAATATTGAAAGCTATTCAAATTCAAAGCATCATGCTAACATAAGCTCATCACACCAACCAAAGTTTCCAAGCTATTATCAGAACACTTTTTCTAAACTATGCTCTCTTTAACAGCATTAGCATTATGGAGAAGACATTATCGGCGATCAGTTAATAATTACAAAACTCATGAAGAAATAGGATAATCAAACTGCAAAATAGGCTGTAGCTGAGAAGGACATGCGATCGAATAAAGCGAAATGGGCAGGCAGCGAAAAAAGTTAGCTTAATGTTAGTGATTTTGGCGCTGCTCTTGCCTTTTCTCCCTTCTCTCCTACATCTCCCTTAGGACCGACTATCGTTCCCTTTGCCATAGTAGACGCAATGGGGCCAGGAGGTCCACGTGGACCTTGAGCTCCCACATCTCCCTAAAACGATAGTGCATAAATACCTTGAATCCTTTTTCTCCGATGTTTCCTCGCGGACCTACAATCGAGCCACTTCCCGTGAACTCGCGAGGCCCAGGTGGGCCGGGCGGTCCCTGCTGTCCTATATCACCCTAGAAACACATCGTGTTGAAATGCGGCAGAATTTGCTGATAGCAATAGAAAGACCACTCTATAAAGACCAGTTCTATATTCCTCAGCCACAATTCAGCACGTGTACTCCCCATTTGTAAAATACAACCAGGTCTATTTTGGATAGTTAAGATACGAACAGTTAGTTAACGAAGCTACTTGAAATAACTTAGGAAGGAATATACTTCAGTATTTATTCATTCGCTATTGAAATTTGCTTACTCGCTAATGGCATTCTTCCAAAAATTGATATAAACTGCAAACAGAACGCCTACCTTGGATGAATTTCAACATTAAAGCTACTTTAGCAAGCAATTAAAATAGACTTTTTTAGAAATTTCAACTTAAACATAAGAACTTTTAAACAGCAACAAATTCGAAAATATGTGACATTTCAATTGCCCGCCTGCAGGAATCACGAAGAATTTCACGGATTCCACAAGGATTTCTATTTGAGCGATAATTTGTTCGTTGGGCAAGGTTTTATTTCTCTGAAGTTGTGGAAATTGAGCCACCTTTCCCCGAATTATCATCACTTACCAGCTGTCAGCTATGTAAAACGCAAGGTACAAAAGCTAATTTTAGTTCTCTTTTATCTGAAAGAAGGTAGTTAGGTATTAATTAAGGAACTCCATAATTCATTAGCAAGAAGAGGTGAAAACCGAACAACCCCTGATATTCCACTTCTTCAAAACTTCTGAAATAAAGAGTCAGCCAGCAAAATATCTAAACAACAATGTTATGAGAAGGATACTTTTACATAAAAATAGGTACGCAATGAATTGTCGAGATGACCATAGCAGTTTTAGACTACAGCCTTTGGTACACTATAACTACAGATCCGTAGCAATAAAACAAAACAGGAAAAAATTCTGAAAATATTTGATGAAGTTTCACCTGCAGACTTTTACAATAAATTTTATAACGGCCAGCTGCGCATAACAGATTCATGTGAATAGACTTTTTAAATTTTCAACTGACAGAAGAAATCTGCAGCTTCAAGGGATCCCTCGCCGCCGCATATAAATGTAACAAGATTAAGTTTACACCTACTTTGGTCGTTATCGTGGAGAAAATCTCAAGAAGGGTAGGGAAATTCTTCTTCTCTAATTCTAAGGACTCCATTATACGAAAACAAAAAAAATACAATTCACTTCAACATGAAAATGCGCAACAACATTTGCGATAAGAACACGCCACTTACTGGATCTCCTTTAGGTCCAATACTACCAATACCAGGATTTCCCGGAATTCCAGCTTCGCCTGGTGGTCCTCGTGGTCCCTAGATAATATGTGGTTGCACAAGCTTGGTGTTACACACGTGAAACTCTATTATGTAAGTTTTCGAAGTTACATACCGGAGGTCCGACATCGCCTCGATCACCTTTCTCTCCAGGATAGCCGTCTCTTCCCGGTGGCCCAGGCAATCCAGGCATACCAGGCATACCACTATCTCCCTAAAAAAACAAAAAAAGTTCTTTTGTTAGTAGTTTGTTGCTTTGAATCATACCTTTTCTCCTGGCGCTCCATCATAACCAATGGCTGGCTCACCCTTCGCACCGTCCAATCCTGGAGCTCCAGGGAATCCTGGCATACCGGGAGGTCCTGGTCGTCCAGGAATTCCAGGAGCGCCGTCCGTTCCGTTACATCCATCCCAACCGGGAGCTCCTGGGGGGCCGGGTTCTCCAGGTCGTCCGTTTGCCCCGTCATTGCCCGGAAATCCTGGTACGCCGATCGGTCCTCGATCTCCTTTTGGCCCTTGTGGTCCAGGTGGTCCCTGCGCACCTTTTTGTCCTTTTGGTCCTGCCAATCCCTCAGGACCGGGAAAGCCACGGATTCCTTGGGAACCGGGAGGACCCTGAGGTCCAGGTGCACCCTGCAGAAAACATCGTATATTGTCTCAGTACACTGTTAATCTTCAAATTATTTTTAGTATCTTCAGTAATTGAATTTGTTTTCTTCCGCCTCTCCTATTACTGATTAAACTTATTGGTTTACATTGATGCAACGTTTGATTAGTGTATCAAACGTTGCATCAATATAAAATGAGTTTAAAATGAGTAATTACAAAATGTAACGAAAACTTGTTTCCCATTTTTCAATTCGACACAAGCAAAGCAAGTGAGATTTTTGGTTTAAGGCTTGTACGCTCTAAACTTGTAAAGCAGAGTAAAAACAGCTAACAGGCGGTGGGTCGTTTCCGCTCGTTAATAAAAAACAGAAAGACAGACGCATTTATCAAAACTGCTGTGATTTTGGCTCTATGTGCCTGGTATACTCGTATTGTCGCTTCCTAATAAATTTCATACAGTTCAGTTTACCCACGTTGATATCTACTAAGCCTGCTAAAAAAAAGCTGATCACGAATATCTGTTCCCATTTTTATAAATACAGTAGTTAACTCAGATTTCAGGGCCGGATAGCATAGTGGTAACAATGCCAGTCATCATGAGCACGGTGCTGGTTTGATCCCAAGCTAGGATCACCGAACCTCTCATACCTCAGAGGTCGGGAAATTGGTAACGAAGTTGTCCAGAAAAAACCACTCTGTGAAGCACAATTGGGAACGCTTCTGCCCGGCTATCTTAGGACTCCAAGGAGAATCGACTCAACCAGCATTCTGCGACGTTTAAGATAAAGTGAGAATCCTCAAGCAATATCCTAATCTATATACGAAAAGTTGGAAGGCCTTCGTGGATGAAGGATGCGAGAAAACGAATCGAATGTGGGAAGTACTGGGGACCACACAGCTGACGTGAAGACGGATCGTATAACATTTAAAAAAAACTCATGCTTCAAAGATTTCCTCTGTTGTCATCTGAAAACTTCAATTATTCTTTGCATTCGTTTCTAGAGGAAAAAAAGGAAAGAAAACAACGGATTGTAATAATGGTTTCAAGAACTTTTTGAGTTTACCGCTACATTTCGTCAGTCAACGATTTACCAGGGATACGAATGCAGTCTAGTTCTCGAATGTAGTAATGGACGGAACATATTGTGGGGGTAGAGAGTGATGGTGAACGGCTATCTATTTTCGTGATATCTTCTCGCTGGACTGCTCATCCTTAGAATGAAGACAAACCGCCAGCAGTAGCAGCAACAGCAGCCGCTCACTCACCGATGTAACACACATATAGTCGCTGTATTGATTCATTAAACTCTCAATCAGTCTAAACGTCAACGACAGCTTCACCTGCCATGAAGAAATCCTAGCCAAGACCAGGAGTATTCATTCATAGTTTTAAAATAGCCCCATTCATTAACACTAAAATGTAAGCGAGTTCCATTGGTGGACAAAAAAAAGTATGGATACTCAAGCACAGCCTATTATAGTTGTAGTTTCTATAAGAGCAGCAAGTAAAATTCGCCATTGTAAAGAAATTTTAACACATGTGAAGCATCTGCAAAAGATTATGCAGCAAAAATCGTCCACTACCAAACTATAGTTAACCTAGCAGACTATTAAGGAACGAGGAAACCGTTAAAAACGAAGTGTCAGTAATGGTATGGAGGTTTACAACTAGTTTTTTTTGGCTTGGAAAACGCCATTCTTAACCTGGAAGACACCATTATATTCTAAACGGCGAAAAATCTTACTTAAATAGGTAAGCGAGCGCTTCTTCATTATTTTAGCTTCTAAGATCGTTTGAATAGATTTTACAATAATTTCTAAGTAAAAGATAAGCATGAGTTTTAAGAACTGCCTACCATGGATCCTTTCTCTCCTACACAGAAACATCCTCGATTTGAGCAATCTCGACATGTGGTTTGCTAAATGTTTTCTTTTCTTGTAAAATCTCTAACAGACATTTATAAATTTTCAAATGAAACACCTAACCATATTAGTTTTACAAAAGCAACATGCACAGAAAAAAAATGGATAATGAAAATCCTACAGGAAAAATGAATGGAGGATGATTGTCGAAATGTAAGAAGAATTCAAATGTCAAATCGTCTTCTATGGAAATGTCAGAACACCATGTGATTCATGTTAATCAATCATAAGATGTTAAAATAATGTGATCGTTTGATGAGATATAAGCATCGGAATTGTCGTTCAAACAGAATTCTAACACTACAGTCGGCTAAAAACTGGTTTACGACTCCGTTCTTTATAGATTTCGTACTTCATCAAGCAATAAAAGCGAAAGAAAAACAAAAGAACAAAACGAAAAATAAATTATGAAACGTCTCGTCTGTTAGTGTAAGAAAATTGCGCGAAAGTAGTCTTAGTGGACGAGGATTCCGATACTAACGAATTAGTTCAACATTATTACAATATAATGGACTTCCATGACAAGAGCCTAATGGCGCCAATAACGACAATATTATTGGCATAAAGAGGACAGAATTACTTTAAAAAACCCTAAATAGCTAAAACCTTGCCGAATATAATTTCATGAAAACAGGACATCTGGAAACAATCAAGGACGAATCTATAGATAACTTTAGTCAATTATAAACATAAATTCCGTAAGATCAACGGAGAAAAAATAATAAAAATAAACAAAAGCACTATATAAATAGATTTCTTCTCGTAAAACGAATAATCCATAAAATTCGAATGACATATATTGAATATATAAATGATGTTGTTGATGATGATGACGATGATGATATAATGATGACGATGATAATAATGATGACGATTATGATGATGATGATGATGGTGGTGATGATGGTGGTGGTGATGATGATAATATTATCGTAAATCAGGTTACTATCTAATAATCACTAGTAATACGACCCGCAAAGTTAAGAAGGTCAAATAATTTAGAATAAGCTTAATAGATATAGAATCTCAAATGTACTTCAGATGAAAATGGAAGATGAAATGAGCAGCAAATTCATTGATTTTGACGAAATCTTAAGACAATAACGACAGAACCAACAATATTCTTTGAACATAATTCTGTACGAAGCTAAAATAAACATTAGCGCGTTCAATGCTTTGGGAATGTGCTGAAGTCGAGAATACCACTTAAAAGGGGAATATTTTGAAAAATACAAAAAAGAAATACTCACCGAATACACGTTAACTACCAGAAATGCGCAAGCAGTTGATAGCAGAAGAGGCCTATAAAATGTGAATGAGTATCACACGGCAGGATTTAGCGTCGTTTCTTAAAAAATGTTTTCCGTTTAAAAATCTAGAATATCTTAGAGCATAGGTCTAGAACGAGAACGGGAAATTCGGAACGGCATTTCTGTTGCCAGTTAAAACTTATTCGTTGAGAATTTAGGCTAATAGAGAGATCTAAATTCCGAAGATTTCGTTGTTAACCATTGTTTCATGATTATCGTTGAGTTAAGAGAAAGTCTTACCATAACGGCACTCTTTGCCTCATCTCGCGTAGCCACGGAACGGTTGCCTGCTAGCAGGAGAGAATGCCAGCAGGCTTCCTATAGAAAGGGCGGAGTAGGACACGACTCCGCCAGACATCACACAAAACAGTGTGCTCATCTAAGAGACCTGGAACTCATTCGCAATGAAGCCGTCAGAGAGTACGCATTGGTTAGGGAGCACCAGAGATGTGATTTCGATCAAACGAATACGCTGTAAAGTAACAGGTAGTCGTCACATCTCCGAGTCCAACAGGGTCGAACGAGGTCAATTTAGCCTTTTGTGCGGAGTTCACTAGATGGCGTAATTCTCTTAAGTAAGGGTTGCAAATATCAATGCTTGTATTACACGCATGCGAAAACGCTAATTTTAGCCAAGAACCCATTTTCTTAAAGCTTAACCCCCAATAGCATAAAAGATTTGGCGCTAGTTATAATGGAAACTTGAGATTAAGCAACAATTCTGCAGCAGTTTGTTCGCCCAGTTCTTAAATTCAGTCAAAATGTCACCGAATATATTTCTACACGATTACAGGTGTAGAAAAATACTCACTTGCGTCGACAACTAAAACAAGAAAAACAGAATCCAAACCACCTACCTTCCATGTGATTAGGTTGCCATGTGGGTTTGGAGTAAGTTATAAGGAAGAACATGTTAAATTCAGAGCTAATTAACCTCCTTGTCGAATTGACCAATCACGTCATTTTGCACGCGCCGATGTCATACCTTGTGAAGCTGAACGCGTACAGTAATATCGGATTGGAGTTTAGAAAAGTAAGAGCTGAAAAAAGCAAGTTTAGCATATACAAAAGTATCGGATTAGAGTTTTATGATTTAAACATGAATTCTGAATGTTAACATATCAAAATAACATGTGATTGCAACATAGTCCAATCACAATAGTCATCTTCCATCGAACGATGTATAACAAAAACTTCTCAGCGGACGTTTGAATCATAATCAGAACCCTTTACTATGCCAGAAAAGCGAAAAGGATGCCAATATAGGTTCTAACTAAATGCTTAATAGGCTTCATCACTACACTCAAATGTTTCAGTTACAAACATTGCACGAGGCGCAATGCCAAAGTCAAAAACAGACTTTAAAAGGTGCTATTTTATTTAAAAAAAAAATAAAAATAAAACAGCACCTCGTGTTTGCTGAACAGAAGTAGAAAGATATATATTAAATCATTACCGAGGTTAATAGAAAGTTGGACTTGGGAGACTTTAAAAGGTTATCACATTAGTCAACTTTGGCTAGAGTGTGCTTTCATAAACAAACATATTCGCATGGAAAAACATAGAGCATGATGAAAAATACAAAACGACAATAACTACTATACTATTTAACATAAAAGCTCCTGGAAGCAAAAATTTACATCACTTACGTAACTAATAGTATCCAATAGCATTTCCGATTTCATTCCAAGGTAAACAATTAGAAATAATCAGAAATAGAAAACGTAATTTCTATGAGAAGTTGTATTTATTGCGGATTCCCCACTTCGGCGTTGTAGCGGAAGAAGAAGAGAAAGAAGGAAAGGAAGAAAAAGAAGGAAAAGAAAGAGAAAAAACGCCAGACTTGCAGCTGCCAGCCAACATAGGAAATCCGTCTTGAGCTCTAAACGATACTCGTCGATTTCTTACACTTTACGAAATCATAATACATTCGTTCATTATCATCTCAACAAATAACTGAACATATTTCATCTATACGACTAAAGTCTGACATTTAACTTCACATTTAGAATATCTTTAATGTTAATAAACAAAGCAAATATTAAGACTCCTTAAGATTACGGTAGTTCCAACTTCATTTTTGTCGTTTTCAACTTCTACACTTCTTCTTCTTATTTCGCTCTATTCGATTTCAATTTCACCCGTCTCCTAGTTGAAATCTCCACAATGTTCTCTAATGAAGGCCGTTTTTACCCCTTCTTTTCGAACCAGAGCTATTCTTAGCTTAAAATCTTGAGGAAGTTATTCAAGGAAATTCTATCATATGAATGTTATTCACACATGTTTGATCTTAACTTTTTTATCTATTTAACCTTCTAGCAAATATGAATCAACACTATGCATTGCCAAAGTGAACGAATAAATTCAAAACACCGATGAACTTTTACCGGAAATGGTCAAGCATTGATCACTCTTACATATGCAGTTCCTCCTTTCTCGATTCCTCCACTCTCTCAAAACCTATGTTAATGCGTCAAATGCTTATTTAAATCCAGAGATAACTATGTCCTTTTTTTGCTTTCAAATTCCAGATGGCTAAGAACGGATGAGATCGATGAGGAATCCATAAAACACAAATCAAGTGAATTTGTATGACTCAGCCTTAGCCTGTTTCGATTCTTTGTAGTGCTCCACAGTGAACATCTTAGTGATTTGAATTGAACCGCACATATTATGCTCCAAAAGCGCATTAGTAATGATGGTCAATTTTAACAAGAATAAAAGTTGAACGTGTCTTCGCAATATTAACAGTAATGAAAATGTATCCCTAATGGCATACCGCTAGTCATCAGTGGAAATCTTTGCAAGTGTTAAATTGTTACTTAGACGTTTATTCGACAAGTATCGCCTTCTAAGCAACGGAGCTTCACATTTCCACGCAAAACCCCAGCAAATAACCAAACTATAGTACTCCGAAACAGGTGAAGAATCCGTACTGGATTTGATGGTACAAGTGAATTATAATATACGCATAATTCGACAAAGGGTAAGCTATCTAGTGCTGATCCATCTTTAAGGTTTACTCCATGTTTATAAGTGACTGCGTGCATAGTTCCATATGGTTGGGCCCGCCTAAAGATCTATCATTTTTCATGATCCAAGACAAATCTGAGAACAATTTTCCAGCTCCAATTGGTGTCCACGGACTAAATTTTCCGGCTTGATTAACTAGGGGCACTAGATCGAAACCAAGGACTACATGCACCACATAACACTTCCTACTATTGTGCGTATGCGCTGTTACAAATGAACAACTACGAATACTATGCCATTATTACCGTATTTATATTTAGCATATTATGAAAAACAACACCTTTCTGGTATTTTAGGGCAATCATATGAGATTTTTCACGTAGCCATTACCATGTATAACAACTCCACTAGATTTTGAACTTTCGAAGCCAGATTTTCCGGAAGAAAATTGATAACGTCGAAGATGCATCGAACTGCTAGCACTTTTTTTTGCGTATAAACTGGAATTCCATAGTCATTCAGACCACCAAAAATAATATCTGACAACTGAACAGTTGGCGTTTCATACTAGGCGCCGAGTTGTATTCCACACCTCGGGGGCTATGCATGAGGAAAAGTTGTAAACGAACGGCATTCCGCACAGAAATCAGTTAGCGACTCCGCTTTCCAACATATCAAGAAAAATCGGATTCATAGAAATTCGAATGGTTCTAGGTATGATCTCGTTATACTTTACAAATCAACGATGGCTCACCATGCAAAGTTGTTGTAAACTTGACAAGAAAAAAAAAGGAAAGAAAGAAATAGTCGGATGAACAGCTTCTATTTCAGAACGAACATGATTTTCATTGATTATGGATACCAATATATTTTAAGAAGTAATAAAATACTCATCATGAGATTGCCATGGAATTTTCGGAATCTTACGAACACGGGGATAAACCTTATCACATTATTTCAAAGATTTTGGAAATTGACAGGTTTACTTTCTTTTTTTTTAAATATTCTTAACTAAGCTTTTCATCAATTTCCTGTTGGCATATCAACGAAGAAAGTGCATGTCCATCCAATTTAGTTTATACGGTCAGATTTCGTTAATGTGTTACTTCTTTTACAAGGTAAACTTTAAGTTTTAAAATTGTAAGACGATCTATAACACCTAATTTCACTTATAACTCATACACTTCTTTCACTTTCACATGTTTTCATTAAGAACTTGAAGAAGCATTACAATCTCCAGCTCAAAAATGCATTCAATGCCTAAGAGCCAAATACCCAAACATGGCAAACATAAACGATGTCTACATTACTACATTGATACGTGTAGACACGTATTTAAACACGTATATATTCAGCAAAGCTTGATCGCTTCTTAATCGATCGAAGAGCACTAGTTGGGCGAATTCCAAGTTTTATGTCGAAGCGATTTGACCTAAGAAAAAAAAAGCCACCGAACACATGTGTGACAAGACGCATTGGTGTCCTTAATCAGCCGGAATGAAAAATTATATCGGTAGTTCTTTAAGCGTCTACTTGAGCTCAACTTTCACTTCACACTCAATTCCCAATCACTTTTCTTTTTTTCATTCCCATTCCAAGCCTGTTTGTAAACCATAGTGTTCATATGATTACTTGGCGGTACCTTTAGGCAATTACTAGTAGCCGCCAATTATGTGAAGGCTCCTCGAGTGCTTACCATCGACAATTTCAACACAATGTGCTCAATGAAATAAAAGACTAAACACATTACATGGTGTAACAAAACGCAACTTTGGTCTCAGCACTTATACCTCAGTCGAGACTAAATTCCAGTCCGTCTAATGCAACTAAGACATGTGTGCCGCCTGAAGCGGAATGATGAAGAGGCAACAGATGTGACAGCGGGTGGCGACCGCCAGCTCATCCGTTTGGGTCAAGTTTAACAGGCAACTGCCATAAATATAAACAAATAGTATAGAAAAGATAGCAACGTAGATCCGATAGCAATCATGTCGAGATTTTTTGCATGAGTGAGAATCATGTATCACCAGTAAAACAAAAACGGCAACATTTACATAGAACTTTTAACGATATCGACTTGATACATAGTGTTCTTCCGGTTCCCAATCACTTTTCTTATGTCCTTATTCACCTTTTTCGCGTCCACGTACTTCCTTCCAAATTTCAATATCACGCCAATCAGTCTAAAACTACCATCGATAAGGCAATATATGTACTTAGTAAATAACTTTAAAAAAATTAAAACACACCTCGAAATCAGGCCGTACATTATAGGTGGGCTCCTCAACTATTTCGTTCTTCTTTCCAAAGGTGAAATGCTTATCTGGACCATAGAAGTTTTCCTCGTAAATAAGAGATCAACTTTCCATATTTCCAACCCCTTGTCTTCTTCTATCGCTCTATACAACACGAAAGAATAGCTGAACTACAAACATTCGAAAATTAATGACCTTCACAGATTTATCCAATAGCCTCGCTTGTTCTTTCCAATCCGTATTGACATTATTCTTCGTGCTTTTCATAAGCTTTTTCAGCTTCTTTTTTCTTCCTTAGCCTTCTTCTTTTCCTTTTTTCGTTTCTGATCCGCTTTTAGCTTCGCTCTAAACGCTAAGCTCTTCGTCCTCCTAAAAACGATACCAACTTGGAAAATCGATTTTTTTCTTCTTTCTGAAAAACGATTAAGCTACCTTTAACGACACAATAGCACTATCCGTGTCAATCTCAGTATTCTTGCTCTTTTTTGGTTGATACTCGTCTAAAATCCTATAGCACATCATGATGTGGACACAAAAACCTACGTTGCACTTTGTTGCACTCTAACTAGTTATTCTTATATATTTCGAATAAAAACAGGTGTCACATCTAAGAATACGATTCACTTCTTGTACGAGCCAAAATTTAATAACTGCAAAGTATGTGAGATTTAAAGAATATCAGACATCTGAAACATTAGTGACAATATCCCTTGACTTTAACGCATATGTGAGGAGAGCGTTTTCAGCTGTTTCTTCCTGAGCACAAATTCTCAGTATGATACTCTTTTGTATTAAATCAATAGGCTCCCTACTTATCAAGCGTGCAGAGGCAACGTGGTCCCAGAAAAGTTAGGCTGTACGTACAAAATTTCCAAAAAAAACTTTGGGAGTGCTTTTCTAGTCTGCATGACTCTTGCGGCGACTCATTTTGTGTAACAGAGCAACAAAGAGACCGCAGTCGATGAAAAAGGTATTTGATGTGTCACCACAAATGTGTTAACTCTTCCGCGACCACGTCTAATTTCACGTTTTTTGGTACCTGGAAGAATTGCGGTGTTATGAGCACGACAGGATTCTGGAAGAGACTTAATCTATCGCTTTGTGTGAGTAGTATCTAGGCTGTTATTTACCAAACGTTACAATGGTCGGTCGCACACACACACACACACTACTACTACTGGCATTTGAAAGCATTTTGCAAATTACGCTGGGTCTATTCCAGTACTTTTTGCACTTACGCACTCTATATGATAACGAATACATAGCTGTAGCGATTAGAATTGAAATAAAAGCTGATTACCACTCAAATTTTGCGTCAGTGGAGTCGTTCTAAAAAGTTTTTGGTACATTTCTACACACAAAATGGAGCTTTATCCTGCCAACGTCCAGGATATCTGTGTTAGCTATGGATTGATTACTAAGAGTCTGGATAAAGAAAACTCTGTGCGACAAAAAGAAATCAAAAAGCGTGCGAATCCAAATGAGTATCTATGGGCGGTACGGTCTACCAGCGTACATATTGAAATCAAGACGTATGGTTACGAAAGAATTAAAAACAATATATCCAGGGTTTTCACAAGTAAAATAAATATGCAAACACACACATACATACATACATACATACATACATACATACACAAGATAAGATTGAATGTTTGACTCTCTATTCTGCTAACATAACTCTGAAATAATTACGAAGTACAAAATAGTTGAATACTTGAAAAACAATGTATCGTTGACGAAAAGATGAAATCAAAGAACTAAAGTGAACTAGGTAGACGCTACTCTCCTATACTCATTATGTACAAAGAAACTAAAAACCATAACTCAAGATGTCTACTGTAGATGTAATTAGACGTATACTATCTATTTCACATGCAAACGGCTTCTACTATTATTATTACAGCAGGCCGGAATACATACGTGTGTAACATACACGCCGCAAACAAAAAGAAGGAAAAACATCTCCGATTGCTCTTGACTGCTATATAAATCATGACGGTCGTAAAAAACCTTTTTGGAGTCTCCTATTTAAAGCCAACACATTAAAAAAATATGTTTTATGCAGAAAAAAGTCCCATACAAATAACGCCAATAAGAAAGCCGAAATATAACAGCAAAAAAAACCATGTTAAAACATATATCTATTTCGGCTCTTCGTATAGGTTTTGGAGCACAACCCTTCTCCCACAATCGCTTCGACTTTTCATCTGCGTTCTCCTTGTACTTTGGAACTTTGTACTGTTCAAAGTGATCCACTCGTATTACTCGCTTAAGTAGCTACAAAATAGACGAAATTATGAAGCAGTTTTGATTCAAACAAAGTTCGTCTACTCACAGTTATACCATTGAAGTTACCAACAGCTAGCACGGTACTTCTTTGGTCTTGATAGTACAAGAAACAAAACCCTCTCGATTTTCCAGTGTCGGCATGACGCAATAGGCTGATATTGACCACTTCACCAAACCTATAACATAAGAGTTATTCAACCAATTAATGTAAAATGGTAAAAGGATAAAGTGCAAAATCCCCAGTATTGACCATTTAAGAATGAGCCATGCAGTCCACTCCAAAAGAATCACTGAGGCAACTCAGTGCACAGGGGTATAACGACATATCACGTTACCGTTGGTTTCCTCCTAGAGAAATCTGGTAGTAATTGGTAGAGTCAATAAGGATGGAAGGGTTCGTGGGCACGCTGCGAGGGTCGCAACCACCGATCACATGTACATTCCAGGGCACTTCTAAGAACTGCTCTACACGCGTCTCCCACAGTGGTTAGCACCTGCGTCTGTCAAATGCGTCTATATCTATACATATATACGTGTATATATGTATAAATAAAAAAATATATAAATATACATATACAAAATCTTAACTTTTACTTATTGCCTAGCCTTTTTCAAGTTTGAGTAGTATGTGAAAAAAAAAGCCACAAGGATGCCGAGACATGAGATATCCAGTTAGAACTAGAAAAAAGAAACAAGCTAAACTAGTTAACACTAACAAAATCAAACCAGCACATAATAGTTTTCCTCACATAATATCATCTTTCTTAAATATACATAAACCTAAAACATAAAGCTCTCAGCGTTAACTAATCCCTGAGAGATGCGCTGTCATACATTCGACTTCATCAAACATCGTTACAGTTGACTGAATGCACAATATGACCTATACAATCACTCGCGGTGCCCTGTCGATGTATCGCGTCAGTGCCGCCATCCTCTCAGCTAGTTCTTGTACCAATTTGTCGAGCTCGAAAGATGGAAGGGGTTTGGGCGCAGAATCGAACCCGAGTACGCTGCAATGCACCTCTACACCTCTACCCACTGCGCTACACGCATTCGCAGATATATATATATGTATTTATAAGTGCACTTATATATATCGTATATAAACATACGTATTACACATACACATACAGATATATACATACGTACCTACATACGTATGTCTATATCAACTTATGTATTGTTAATAAACATCTATGTTAAGGTTTGTTTAGTGTTTTTAAGACCATCATTTTACACATAATTCAGACTCTTCGAATGAAGATGTTATATAGTTGTATTGTTCCCTGCTTCGAGGACAGGATAGATGACAAAACGATGGTGGTGATAAATGCGTGCTTGTTTTCGTAGGAGGATCGTGGCGAACCACGGTGAAAAGATCACGCCCGTCATTAATGATTCTATAAATTAACAAGCACATATTCTAAAATATATGCAACAATGGAGCATAACAACTCATAAGTTGGTCCTTGACGAACACCAAACTATAGGAAAGGAAACTATAAAACAGCTGACGTTTCGACAGATTTAACCTTATTCAGAACCTGAAAAGATCATGTTAACCGCAAATTAATCAACCAAACACCTAAATGACCTCAACGGAGAAACGATGATACCTCGATCTCAATCGCATTAGAAACAAAACAGCCTCTTCAGACACTCACTGCTCTCGAGAAGACTTTCACGGGAGTATTTCACGTGGAAACTAACCGCATAGTCTTTACATAGATCGATAATGCATCTCTTTCAAATCAAAATATCAGTCTTAGGTGTTGTACGAGATCAGCCGTGATCACGAGGCATTCCTACCTGCGAATTATTTTTGGTTTCCTGGCATTTATCCGAAATGCTTCGCCTGTTTTATGCGCTGGAGTTTTGGATTATTGTAGGACGATGGTGACATCTAATTCAAAACATAAAACACTAACGCTGCTTCCTCAAGCATTCTTTAGACAACAAGATCTGATCGATGAAATTGACAGCAACTTTCGGGTATTTGCAAACGAAGCTTTCAGAGCCCTTAACCATTATCGCGCAGAAAAGTTTCGTTCGAACCTAAAAGAAACATAAAATGTGGTATGAAAGAAGTTCAAGTCTTCTGAAAAAGAAATCAAAGTCAAATGCGAAAGTGGAACAAAAAATGAATGGGTTAAAGTGGAAAAAGATGCAGGTTTAAAAACATCAGTAATTTCTCAAGTCAAAACTTATCAGAACTAATAAGTTAGTACCCACTGATAATTTTGCGTCTAGCGACCCATCATTATTTAAGATAAGAGCCATCATCATCTGTGTAGACGGACCCATGGATAGAATAGCTTGGTTTATATACTTAGTGCCAACCAGTTCCTGAAACAAATGCCAGCTCATCTTCCTATCTTACGCACACTCAGATATTCTTGGATCGTCTAGGTAACACGTGTACTATCAGCGCGTAGGTGATGGATTCCTTCTATGTTACCGCCCTTTATACAAAAGTGTTGAATGACTGCGCTAACCAATCCATCATCGATCTCGCTAAGTTATATTAGGAAACAATAGACATGGCCTATTGATTCAGATGCTCATTGCCCTCTTAAAGGAGTTCCTGAACTGCTCAATCTTTGGATGGTTCAGAAAGCATTTCACACAAAATAGAGTTGGAGTAGTAGGACAGTGACTGGATCAAATCCTTTCCATTGCCTTTATGTCTGAGGTGAGAACCAGATACATAAGTGACCGTTATGTTATCTGCTGCACACAAGAGGAGATGGACAAATGTTCTGAACTGTTGAAAGAACACTCAGAGTACACACCAGAGCGAAACCGAAAGAACACTGGTTCAAGGCAACACATCCGAAAACGGCTACATCACCATGTAGTACTACCTCTTCCCTAACCTCACACATAAAAAGGGCACATGTGAGAAATATGTTTCGAACAGCCACAGTGCCTGCACAAGAAGCCAGCAAAAGGAGGAATTCCTCAAGTTGGCCTGGAAAATAACCATTTCCAATGGCAAAGAAACTGTGGCGTCTCGGGATTGGTGTAGAGGGAAAACCACGCATCAAGCGATAACTCTGGTTAGAACGATATCCCATGTTTCCCGTCCTTCATTTCGGACGAAATACTTAACAGTAATAAAACGTCAATTAAGAACGGCCGCTCTAAAGAACTTGGCAACAGTGAATGAAATAGCACCGAACAGTCTTACACGCCAGCTGGTTCCTAACCGTTTGTATGAACGTGTATGCTCAACGCAAAATTGCACAATATACCCTAGTGGTCGAGACTGCATGAGTCAGCACACGGCTTACGTAAAGCACTCTTGTAAAGCATTCGGGGACGAACATATTGTCGAAACGGGTAGACCACTATAGACCCATAGAAAAGAACACACCTAGTCGGTAGATTGAAGTAAGATCAAATACACCGCTTTTTGTGTATAAGGAACAGAGGCACAACGGAGGCTTCTACGTAAAAGTCACTATCCTTGCGCAAAAATTCAAAATATCAACGTGTAAAACTCTTGAAAAGTTTTGAATAAATTCCAAAAACCTATGTCTTGTGATCACGTCTGATTTCGCGCTATAGCTCAGGCTGATTTCTCGAACCTGAGCCTGCCACATTCCTCACCTATGTAAGATTCTACAGCAGACCTTCACCAGATAGCTGGAATCCTTACAAAGAACAAAATCATAAGTGTTCAAAAGAAGCAACTTACTACCTAAACGAAAATTTGTGCATCAAATTTCATCTACTGAGGCTATGAAAGTGTTGAGTAGCTTAAGTGTCAATTTGACCTTTCGAAATAGTGAAGAAGGCGATACCACCAAACGTCAGCTTCTGTTAATGAATAAATGTTGTAATAACAAGCTCGCATTTGACCAACAAAAAAAAGGAAAAACAGCAAATTTTCCTTGGGCTCGCTACATCGTGGTTTATGCAAAGCCCAAGCGCTATATTAAAGATCTTTTTTCGTCGTTTTCTTGGCGATATGCATCTTACATACGTACTCCGGCTTGCTATAATAATAATGGGAACCGTTTACATGTTAAACGGATTGTGGGCTTATAGTTATATCTAAAATAGATTTCCAGGTTTATGGCTTTTATTTTTGTATATATAATAAGTATATGACAACAGTGTACAACCAGTTCACTATAACGCTCTGATTTCATTACTTCATAAACGACACGCCCTTTCAAATATTCACTTATTTTCTATTCACAATTATTTATTTCAAAGCTTTGTCAGAGGAACGGGGAGTCGCAAATTTAATCTTTTCTTGTGTATGCAGATATGCATATTTAATTCATTCATTAGCGAAATTGCTATTGATTGACGAACTGATTTCAAAATGTACACTTCAGAATAACGTCTGAAGAACGTAATGTAGGGAACCACCGAACGTGCACGGTTTAACAGCTGTCCGCGTTTACCACGACGATAGAGACGATTCATTGAAACCTGCAATTCCAGAAACCCTACTCTTAACGCTGGAGAGATGGGAGCCTCCTAATAGAGAATAGCACAACAAAATAAATGACATCACAATAAATCGAACGTTTTGTCGAACCGATGTCGTTGTCTTCCCAAAATTGTATACGGGATCAGACCTGCGCCTCCTTTGTGCAAGTTATCATTTCTCATGGAATGAAGAAAAGCCGCTAAATTCAAAAAACCAAGTCCCAAAACCACCATAAACTGGAATGTATTCAATTAATAAGCCAGCCCTTGCGAAGATTCCATTCTTGATAGCATCAACGTTGAATACGATAGGCTCATTCAACAGCTTTATGTTAGCGCTACGGAAGCACGAAAATCACCATAACACGTCTGTCTCCGGAAACACTCGAGCTGTTACGCCGGCGTAAAATCGCATGAGCCACAGGCAACAACGAGCTCACGTCCGAACTTACAAAACAACGCAAACACGCAATCGAAAAAGATCTTAGAGAGAAAACAGCAGCAGTTATGGTCGAAGCTGCAGAGGCTGCGAAAAGCATTCGCAAAGCACACCGGCCAATTATAAAACCAAGATGATTACACTCCGACGCCCATACGGAACGGTTACACAGTTCCGAAGGGCAATGGAGAAAACCACTCACGATTAGCACCCGAATCTCTTCAACAGGCATTGCGTCCGACCATCATATGAAATAGAGGAAAATGTTTATGTCCTACCACCAGTTCTCGCTTCCCAAATCCAACATGCCACTTTTTCAATAAAAAATCGAACGGCAGGTCAGGATAAGATCTGAACACCTGGATAACATTTCGCCAGTTCTCTTGAACAAACTGGCTCTACGTTTCACATGTTACCTGTCCGAATGGAAGGTTTCTACTCAGTGGAAAGCTAGCAAGACCGTGTTATTCTCCAAAAACGGTAACTCCACGATATCGGCAACTACTGCAAAATCTGTTTGCTGTTTGTCAACTAGAAACTGTTCGCTAGAGTCACAAGATTGACAGGACGGTGGACAAAGGACTGTCCTGTAAGCAAGCAGGGTTTCGAAAGACTCATAACGATGGAATACATCAAAATGATAACAAAGCTCAGTGAAGTATCGTGAGAATACAAGAAACCGCTCTATCTCACTTTCGTAGGTTCAAAGAAAGCTTTTAATTCAGCTGAGATAGAAGCAGTCATGGAAGACCTGGACAGGCAGGGAGTCTCTACTCAGTATATAACGATTCTTCATCAGCACGTATAAAAATTTCACAACAAATACACCACCATTCTACAACGATATTGAACATTGACGTCAAAAGAGAGGTTTAGCAAAGCATTAGCATCTCGTCAAAAAATATTTACCGCCATCTTTCAGTACGTCATACGAACACTTGAATGGGATAATATGGGAGTGAAAATCGATGGTTGGCAATTCCCATCTTCGCTTTGCTGACGACATCGTCCTTTACAACACCAAACATTAGCCAAGCGGAACGTATGCTTGCCGACTTTGATAAAGCCTATGGAAAGACTGGTCTTCGGTTAAATCTCACAAAAACGAAGCTCACGAGAAACGGACTGGTTTCGTATACCCTATTCACGGTCAACGGAAGGAATTTCTCCGAATGCTCCGGCTACGTCTATTTAGGCCGGGAAATGAACATGATGAACCACTTAGCGCCACAGCGGAGTAGAAGAAAACGAGCTGCAAGGAGAACTATCAAGAGCGAGGATATAGTGAAGAGAACAAGGAATACCTCACTCCGCGCCCACTTTTCCTACTCCACGATACTTCCTTCCTTAATGTATGCGTCATAAAGCTGGTCACTGCCTATGCAGCATGCAAAATCACTCGGCGTTAAACGCGCAGTCGAAAGGACGACGCTAAGGGTATCTCGGGTCACATAAGTGAAGGAAAAGATCTGAAGCGCGGACCTACGTCAACAATCAAAATCAAAGATGCCGTTCTATACGCCAAACTGTCGTAGATACGGTGGGCCGGACATGTAATACGTGCGAACAACAACCAGTGGAGAAGAATCGTTAGCGACTAGATTCCCCAGCATGTCAAACTTACTACAGGAAGACCGCCGACTCGATGGTCAGATTTCTTTGTGAAAACCCTAGAAGGAAGATATCATGCTCAACGAGTCCTTAGAGCAAGCAACACCCACTCGGTTACTCTTGCATGCAACAGCGGAAAGTAGATTTGCTGGTGGCCGGTCGATTCATCCGACCAACAGAACGGCAGGTGATACAAATTATAGGCTAGGCTGCCGGACTGTACGGCCCGTGCATATTGGTTACAATCCGCACGCTTTTTGTTCATTTCTCTTGCTGCAGAGGGCTTTGTTTTGTTAAGCCTTTTGTAGTTAGCCGATAGCTTGCCGAAAACGGCTGTTATTTTCGACGTTGTTTGGAAGAAAACACCTGAGGCCTACATAACAAAGAGCTTTATAAATAAAGTTTACAATTATAAAGTTGTTTGGCTGACTAGGTTGCAGTTAACATGAGCTTTCCGGGGAGGAAGAAGGCGAAACGAGAGCATTTTTAGATAAATAAATAGTACAGTAACAACCTAGTTTGCACTTAACAAGAAAAAAATTATCCATAAGCAAGGTTATTGTTTAAAAATTAGAACTAAACAAGTAAAGGAAAGAACTATCCACAACGACTCACCCCCATGGAATTAACGAGTGGTAGCAAGCAATTTTCAAAAACCACGCAAAGAAAAGGATATACTTGTGAGGAAACTGTCCACCAAACAATGAAAACCTAAAAAGTCGCACGCTGAGCTCCTAGTAATCCTAGTACGATTCGATTTGATGAAACATGCTACGCATATATAGCGATTTTGAACAAATTCAAGGGAGAAATGATGAAAAAAGTACCAATGAAGGCAAGGGGTTCAATCATACCATTTGACAATAATAATAAAAATGACACTAGCGCGTGTAGCGCAGAGGCAGCAAGTGCCCTGCAATACCCAAAAGACTGACCCCTGCGCCCCAGGCCTCCCAAGCCCTCCATCCCTTCTGGGTCAACACATCGGTACCAGACTTGTCTGGAAGGACGGCAGTACTGATTTGATACGTCGGTAAGCTATTGTAGGCCAATGTAAAGGCCAGAAATGCACTAAATCATTTTCAACGATGACTGATGAAATCGAAGGCATGGGGCGTCCCTCAGGGATAAACCAACATCGAGGGCTTTATCTACCTACCCTCTAATTATAATGGTTATAATGACGATGACGATAAAAACAACAAAAATAATAATAATCGCGATGACAGTAAGAATAGCGCGATTTAAGCGAACCTAGTGAGTGTAGATTAACCTACTTGGATACTTGGATGGCCCAGCCTCAGTGGTTGTGAGGGCCCTGAGATTATCTTCATTTTTTTGGAGTTTGGTTGGTTTTGCCATTGTGGTCCTCTTGGAGTTCTGAGGACAGCGAGGCCAATGTCTGCCCTAGGTCGTCACCACCACAGGCAGTCGCCGCCCTTGTGGATCAAAGAAAGATTCGCCACCAAGTGACTAGTTTGATACCAGGACGGTGGTGAAGAAACACCTCCCAGCCACGATTAGTCGGTAAACCGTTGGGAGGGGCTGTGGGTTAGATTGTAGATTAACACGACAAACAATTCATATCCCCTATGGTACCATAAAAATGAGCTTTATTCGTTCCACATCTGTTCAGATAAGAGGAATTCCAAAGAAGCCTTAGCGACTGACTAGTGCGCGTCTATCTAGGAAACTCCTGAGCAACACTATGACCAGGAATAAGACCATCGACATACCTGTACCACGTTCCTCCATATCCCTGGATAAAAGGGAAAAATCAATCGAAAAGAACATTGAAATACTCACTGTGAAAAGACGGTGATTATGTCGCCTTCTGTGAGGTCATACGGCAATTCCCCGATGTAGATCCACGCAGAATCCTTATAGCTCTGGTGCCAGGACTTTCCTAAGTCACCAGCAATACCAAATTTGAGCTCCCTCTCGTTGAGCTTGTTCTGGTTTCTGATGTTCGTTAGCGGATTCACGACCTAAATCAGTCGTTTAGAGCTTGTAAAGAAAATATTTCAGTGACAATGAATTCTTCCAGAAAAGAGCGCAAAACTTGTATTCAACTAGAACCATGGCCAAATAAGACTCACTTAATAGTGCCTTATCGAATAAATGCTACTAATAATTACTGTTACTATAGCAAGTAGTAATTGAATGGATGTCTAAAGCCTGCCAAGGAAAAATCTGGTGATATGTGGCATCTAGATGGGATACACAAAAAAACTAAAGTGACCAAAGTGAGCGCGATACTGTTATACATTCAAAATTACGATTTCAGAGTTAGTACAAAGCAATTCGGTAACATCCGAATGAGAAGTTTAACGAATCTCACTTAAAACAGCTAATATGAGATACCAAGCTCAGTCGACGATCATAGAAAGGTGCAAAAGCCCATTTCGTTAACTAACTTTACAGACACTCAAAGGTACCACAACGGCAAAATAAACATAGTGGAATAATTGCAAAGAAAATCATAACTACATTTAAAAAGTGCCACGAAGTATTTCGAAATATTGAGACATTGTCGATGGGTAACGTTGTTCATGTGTAATTACACACACCGTAGTTACCGCACGGTACAATTTAATACCAGCAACGTTTTCATAATGCTAAGCGTCGTTCTAACAAGTTTTTATGGTAGTATTTTAGCCTTTAGTTAGATAACACTATGAAACATTTAATATGTTACTATCAAGTGTTTCGTACTTGAAAAAAAGACGAATGTCAAGAACCAGATCCGATTTCCTTAATGAATGAAGCACGTTTTCATGCCACAAAATGTTGTGTTGGCTACTTTTCAGGGCCGAACCACTTTCATTCCTTTTATTTCATTCTACTTTATGAAATACTCTCCAAAACTATGGATCCGCGTTGATAGTGGAGATTTTGGTTTCTTAAATGTTTTTGTTTTTCAGCACATGATGTAAACATGAAGTAAAAACAAAATATCTTCTTCAATCGCTCGAATGGCAATCGAGGCATTCACAAGTATCCATTATATGCTTGTTTCATTGGTTTTCTAATTCCTCTGTGATATTTTGGTAATGTTTCAGATTTTCAAATCTACTTACTATTCCTTCATGCTGGTATAGTTTGAAGGAAACGTATATGAAAATCGCTTAAACAAGTTCATTTTACAGTGAACGAGGCGAAAAACCTGATATAATAGCTCTAATTGCAGGAAAACGTATTTGGGTTGCTATGGGACCGACATTTGTCCTCTATTAAGTAATGATGAGTGGTAGCGCTTACATCTATTTTTTCTTTTCCTTCTTACTGTGAACCAAAGAAACAGCAAAAATATCCTGTCTTCGTGTATTTTCTGTTGGATTATAACTATTCTGTTAAGTGAATGAAATGAGAATGTGTACGAGTTTTGCGATGATTTGATACGTGTTAACAAATGGGCGAGATCTCATCATTGCTTTTATAATGATAATGTAAAGCGTAATCGTTTGCTGCCTAGGCAACACTGGACCGCCTTTGTGTTCTGTGTTAAAGTCAGTGCATGTTATCATTTTTGCAGCACCACACTAAACTCACTAGCTGAACTCATTCCTCCCTATATAGTAGCATTATTAAAAAGATAAAGGATAAATTCCTCGGCGTTGATCAATCTCTGAGGGATGCGCCATGCATTCGACTTCATTAAGTATCGTTGGAAGTGATTGAATGCATATCTGACGTTTACAATAACTCGCGGTGGCCTACCGATGTACCGAGTCAGTGCTGTTATCCACTCAGACAAGTCTGGTAGTAATTAGCCGACCCTAGAGGGATAGAAGGGTTGGTGAGCCATAGGCGTGGAGATCGATTTTACGTGTGCATTGCGGGGCGCCTCCGACCACTGCGCCACACGTGCTCTGCATCCGATCACAAACCACAATAAACGTCATTCTTTTTCTGCATGTATATTCAAATTTTTAGAGTGCCGTTGATGTTTCTAACTCGAACTTATTTAGACAAGTTATATATTAGTAATAGTAACTAAGCGTGCATATAGCGGAGTAGTTTTAAATTCCCTGGAATAAAATGACAATTATCAAACAGCAACCACCGAGTTGCTTTCAATTTGCTTGGTTTTTCTATATTTTGAACACTTCCACTTATTTTTTCTTTTCATTCATTGACTCGAAATCACATTCTTCACACTATAAGGATCCCAGCATTTCTTGCATTCTATTCATTTCATCGCATCCACCATCCACGAATACCTTTGAAGTTTTGGCATTTGGGTTCCACTGGTCCTTGAGGATTTTCATCTTCGTTACGAATGTCGTTGAATGCTGGTGGAGTGGATTCTCCCTGTAATGCTGAGATCGTCTTATTAGGGCGTTCCCACGTTAATAAGAAGGAGTGAAAGAATGTGCTATTACCAGATTAGTCCAGTATCGACATGAGGACCGCGGAAGAATGAGACGCTTGGTAAACAAGAGGCGCGATCGAGCCAGCGCCTGGACAGCCTGGACTGTCAGCGTAATAAAGGGGATCGCTACCACTTCCACTTACTAGCTTTTCATTTCATCTATTGGTATTTGCCATACACACACAATAAATGTTGTTATAATGTTTCAGAAAACCGTGATAGTTAAGCAATCGTAATCAAACATTTTTGTTTTAATTATTACTGTTATTACTATCACTGCTATTGTGGTTACTACTGATGTTGCAATTATAGGTTGCAGCTGTTGTTAAATTCAAGCGTTTATTGAAATGGAAGCGTTAAAACAACAGACAGAACAACTACGAATTGAAGTTCAACTACAACGAAAAAAGGTCTCCGAGACATCGAAGGGGTACTTTTAAGGTTTCAATATCTTTAAAAAAGCCGACGCCGATTTTTCATGTAAGGGTTAAGTGTTTGACAATGATTATTCCCTGCGGTATGCATCATGCATTCAACACAGTTCAACCCTACAGGTATAGCTGAATGTATATTTGGCCTGTATAATAATTTACAGTGGCTCAACCATGTTTTAAATCTGTTCATTTTCGCAGGCATGTCTGTTGCCTGTTTGCCAACCTCGCAGTGTTGAACGGCTTGGTTAGCTAAGGTTAGCGAAAGGCATGGCACCGAACCAATACTGTAGTAGATATTCTCGCGTTCCCTTGAGAATGGTCATCCCAATACGACTAATCCTATTAAAAAAATTTCATTTAAAAGTTGTTCATGTAACAAATGAACAGGGTTTTTGTAAACAGGCAACGAGCTTCACATACCTACTCCTCATTTACTTTTATTCAATGCTTTCAGATTAATTGAATATTGCGAAAAAAACAAAAACAACGACGCATTAGTCAGTGGACCATCTGATGCTCAGAATCCGTTTCAAGAGAAGAAATCATGCAATCTGTTGTGAAACATGTCCGTTACCTAGTTCTGTCTAGATGTCTACTCTTTTCTTTTCATGCTAGATGTTCACTATTTCGTACTGCGGACAAATGCAAAAATTATGATGGTTTAAAAAAAACCATGAAGCACATTGGTCTCATTTTCTTCACTGAGGGTTGTTAATGAATTCGGGCAAAATTCCAGCACTTTGGATTCGAATTTTCCTGATTTGTTTAATTTATATTCCAAAGACCAGCATCTGTAATTCGATTTCCTTTTGTCAATAAAATTTTTTTCCTGATTTATTTGTTTCATATTCCACTGACCAATATGCGTAATTCGATCTATGTGTATCTTTAAAATTGTTTACTGATTTCCAGGATCTGAACGTGCTTTCTACGTCTCGATTCACATGGTTACAAGTTATCCTTTTTAGAGTGCTAATTTCAAGGATGCTGAGATAAGAGCAAAAGTCGCAGCTTCATTTCGGATGCGAACGCGCGATTATCCTTTCTGTGTGCTTACACTCATACCTCAGCATCCTTGTCATTGTATTTTACGTAGTAGCATTTCTTGAAGAAAAAGACTCTAAACAAAAAAATTGAGGCGATGCTGATCTAATCTCTTCAATGGCAGCAAAAAATGCTAGCAGCGTGTCGACATTTGTTGGAGGTTGGCAAGTTATTCGCAACATTTCCTTGACTTAAATCCAGGTATGTTTCATATTATTCATTTTTCTACATTTTCTCAGGCAGCGATCGACGACTGTGATAAAAAACCTCAATAATGCGGAGATTTCATCACATCCGCTAGATGTAAGGAACTTTAGAAATTTTATTGCAACATTGACCTAGAACTGAATGAGTTGTTTTAGGTCCAGTCGTCGATTTCTGAACATCGAATAAATTTTCGTTCGATTTTTTCAACATTCTAAATTGCATGGTGTGGCAGTAATTCGTTGAAATGACGCCACGTGCAGCTCTTCTCTATCCACTGCACTTGCAAATCGTGCATCTCGATCCAGAACTTTTAGGATTTAACACTTTTCTCATTCCGTGAAAAAACTCTTTGCAAATCAGTTATACTGGTGTCACGTGAAAAAATGGATATACGATAAAGCGTCCGGCGTTGAGCAATTCTTGAGGGATACGCCATGCACTGGAATTCTACAAACATTATTTTTAACCATCAAGCCAATGTTTTTATCCTGCAAGACAAGTATGGTACCAATTTTCCAATCTCGGAGACGTGGATAGTTGTGTGAACATGCGGGGTCGAACCAACGATCTTGTGTGTATTTAAGTGCTCCTCTGAATCCTCTGAACACATCTTCCAATCTCCGTTGGAATCTATGAGGAAATGCTGAATGAGTTTACAAAAGTCAAGTCGATGGTTCAATTCCTCGAGACAAATCGAACTAGCCTTCTATGTAACTGGTGTTAAAAACAGAAATTTTTTAACTTATCACCATCTGAGAGAACGATTTCAGTATCACCAATGAAGAAGAAAATCGAAGGATTTCATTATTAGCAGAAACACCGCTGCTCTTTGACAATAAATGAGCGGGATCAACGCCTTTGACAAGTTAGTGAGAAGGACCAAAGCTGATCTTTAGAGAGCGATGTGTACATCAATGAAGAGGAAAATCGAGTGATTTCATTAATAGAAGAATCACCGGTGCTCTTTAATAAGTAATTGCTGATCAACGCTGATCATTAGTGGACGATTTCAGACTCATCAATGAAGGTGATAATCGAAGGTTTTCAATATTAGCAGGATCAGAGCTGCTCTCAACTTAGTAAGCAGGATAAACACTGACCTGTAGAGAACGACTTCAGGTTCCAACAGTGAGCATGAGAGTCGAGGGATTTCATTGATAGCAGAATCGCCGCTACTCTTTAACAAGTAAATGAGTAGTATCAACGCTAATCTTTAAAGAGCGATCTGAACGTCATCAATAAAGGACAAAAAAGGATAAAGCCCTCGGCTTTGATCAATTCCTGAGGGATGCGCCATGCATTCAACTTCATAAGCATCGTTTGGAGGTGATTGAATGCATATCTGGCCTTTACAATAACTAGCGCTGACCTACCGATGTATCCAGCCAGTGATGCTATCCTCCCAGACAAGTATGGTACCAATTTGCCGACCGCGAGGAGATGGAAGGCTTGGTGGGTCAGGGGCGCGGTGACAGATTCCGCGTGTGTGTTGCAGGGCTCCGCCGACCACTGCGCCGTACACGCCCAACATGAATAAAGAAGAAAATAGAAGGATATCATCATGAGCAGAATCAGCGTTGCTCTTTAATAAGTAAGTAAACAGAACCAACGCTGATCTTTAGAGAGCGATGTGAATGTCATCAATGAACAAGAAAATACAAGAATGCTATTATGAACAGAATCACCGCTGCTGTTTAGAGGATGATCTGAATATCATTAATGGATAACAAAATAGAAAAGGACTGCTACAAATTTGGGAAAGCCAGTTCTGAATTCGCGCCAGATTTATGCATGTGTTAATGGCATTAGAGCTATTTCATTGGGTACAACTGCATATAGAGGAGCTCAATAATGGTCAAGGAATCGGCAAAAGAGTACCCTTAACAATTGAATTTCCTTCTTCCCGTATCCAAAAAGTGTTTTTCATTCTTGAGTAACTGAATATTAAATGTGCTAGAATACAGAAACCAAAAAATGCGCCTCTCGAATGTCACCCTGTTCAAAGCAGATCACCACCATGGATGACGAATGCGCGAAGAAGAAACGAGTGGAAAATCTGTTGGTGACTGCAGTACTCGTCAACACTGGCCATCCAACTGTCTCAGTATTTAGGTAGGCAAAAGCACCCTTTCTTGTTATTTTTCGATGTTGAGTTTAAACAGCTACAGTTGTAGCGTTTCCTTGATTTCTTTCTTTTTCTCTTAAATTTTTAAGCAATTTCGCTGCATATTAGAGACCACTATTTTGCGTTTGTTTCCTTTTTCTCGGTTGGAACTCTTATTTATTCTATAGGAATACTTAACGCACTAAAACTTGGTTTTTTTGTATATTTGTATCTCCTAAAATTCATTGGACAAATTATGTGCATACAGTGCAGCGACTAGAACGATAGTAATGAAGACAAATTTTAAAATCGAGTAGAAGCCCTGCTAAATGTTGAGGCATGGAATAGTACCCTTTGAATTTCTCAGGTTTTTTCCAAGCAGGTTATTTTTTGGTTTATCATTGACTTCCCGTCAAAATTAATTTACATGACGATGACAGTCAGTGAGCACTAGTCCCTCTAGGCAATTGTTTTTGGATATATCTTTTGTACGTCCGCCATCTCTTTCCTGTCCAAGTGGACCAAATGCTTCAATGTGACCAAGTCCACGAGGTTTTACAGGTTTCAAAGTACATCGGGAAGCTGAAGTGCAACCCCATTCAGTTGATTCAGTGAATATTTTCATCCGCTATTACCAATGTGAGTAATTTCTTTTCTGCATGGTTTGCCTTACTTTTTTCCCGGTGGTATTTCTCAGCAAAGGATTCAGGACTGCAAACGCTCCGATATGCAAAGCAAGCTCGTCAACACTAGATGCAGCCCATGCAACAACTATTTCTATTAGCCTGTTCTAATGGAACTCTATTAATCAAAATTGCAGTTTTTTCGTAAATGAAGAGTAAAATAATAATCTCGTGCCTGCTCATCAAGAATAAGTAATATAGAGTAGAGTATAAAGTGTTTGTTATGGAAGTTTTAGTACGTAACGATTGTTAAGAGTGCTCGTTCTAGATGTCTAAAGTTGTAAGCATTCTAAACTCTGTTCAAGAAGTGCTCATTGTAAGAGTTTTCGAAACAAATCTTTTTGTACGTTGATAAAATCAATCAAATGCTATGATAATAAAAAAGTTCGAAGTGAGACATATTATGTTGAAATATTTGGATGAACGACTAGCGCTTTTGGAACCAGATAATTTTGTTGAAAATCGGTACGCAAGTTTACCCAACGATTCAATTGCAGGAGTTTTCTGAAAGATTCACTATCTTATTGTGACGAAAACATGCCTTTAAGTGCCGAAGTCCAGTGTGGAAGTGCACCAGGTACGGCGCTGCTTCCTCTAGAACGGCAGGTTTCCTCTCCTAAAAATTCTTCTCGTTGAAAAAGAGTTTTTTTGTAAATTATTAAGTATAGACAATAGTTTTCCATAGACAGTGACTGCTACAATATCTGTGTTGAAGAAGCTATCGACTTACCACAAAAAGTATAGGAAAACAGTTTTTGCGAGAAAGTAAGACGTTGAAAGCAAAATGATCTTTATAGATACTAGTCCTTCTCGCTAATATGTAATTACTTAGCGATCACCACCTCGCGTAAGAGTAACACTTACTTTTCCTTACTACTTCTGTACGAATGGGCTTCTCAACCACTCGATTGCGACCTTGAAATCTAGAGACCCTATAAAGCAATAAGGCACACCAAAACTAGCTAATCCATTCTTTGAGTCCATATTTTCCTTTTAAAGTATCTGAGTATACAACACAACGCCTTAAACACACTGTTGATCATTATTATGTGAGAGGATCACGACGAACGGATAATTGCAGCTGAAATCAAGGCCTACAGAAAATTTCATGATGAACAACTTTTTTCTTGGATGGGTGAATGGATAATCTTCAGGAATTGCAGCGAAAAGAGCATACTCTAGCACTATTTCCATTTGCTTCCGCGAGTTTCCAACCCATGTTGTAGCTTTCTTAGGTTATCATCACTTATCAGCCAGTGATCGTTTTGTTCTTGGACTGTCAGGGATTTCTGGCACTCTTCTATTCTTACATAGGCATTCGAATGAAAATGTTTAAGTTCTCTGTTGAGGTGAAAAACACTTAAGTAATGTGAATAAATGAATGAAAACGAATAAAAGTTTACAGGATAAGACGTCCCACGCTAATCTCTCAATTAAACACAATATGTACAGCACCGTTAAGACGATAGATAGATGCTTAAGGTGGAAATATTATCGCGTTGTTATAGCTGAAATCACGTTCACTGCAGCGGGTTGAACGAGTTGGTTCGGATTGGCATGACAGAGGCCTGATGACCGCGAGTAACCTAGGACAGACCAGATTAGCTGACCAAATGCGATAATCTGGATTGCTAACGATATATCACTATGTTGCTATGAGTTGTTATTCATCGCTGAGTTGCTATTCTGTGATGTCTGTTGTTTAGGTTGTCCTTAATGACAATCTTACGTAACTTGATGTACAAAAATAATAGAGAACAGTTTATAGCGTGCAGAAAGCGCCTTGAATACCTACTGATTACTGAAGAAAATAAGAAGAGTCGAAAAAAACTCTTGCCGGGTTTCATTTCGTTTTAGGTGAGGGATTTTCAAGAATGCTAACTCTTATCCTCAAATATGTGCTCGATGTATGCATTTGTTTTAATTTTGTTTTTTTCGTTGTTTTAAAGTAACTGGAAACGAAAAATCAATAGTGAAACACCGCCGCTAGAAACTGTCGCGAAATCCCGAAGCGTGATCCTTCAGACGATGCAGATAATCCAGGTCTCAAAACGAGTTTCTAGAATTTCCTTGAAAGGTGATTTCTAAAAGTTTCAAATGAAAACTATTAAATTATGAAATTAAGTTATTAAATATCCTCCTTGAAATCAAATTTACGCTTTTAAAGTTTCAAAAGTTTATTGTGCCAGTTTGTGAGCAAGAATCTAGTTGCGCAAAATCCTTGGGTGACTAATTCATGCTATGGGTTCTGATCATTGAAACAATGGCTAACCCGTCTCCTTGAACTCGTTCATTTTCGCATTCTAATCCAGGTCACTTCACCTCTCGTTTGAACGGATAGCTTCTGCATTCTATCACGCGTTTATTATCTGAATCGCCCATCAGTTTCACTTTCAAGGACTTTCAAACCTGTTTCAGCCTCATAACTTTGAAAATCCTTTGCTGTCTTTTAAATGGATATCAAAAGAAAGAAGTGCACGTTAGCTTGTGTAACTATCATCAGATCATTCATGCACTTATTTTACCGCTATTCTCTGCGCTCAATTTTTTTATTATGAGCTCTACACTTTTTAAGAGATAATCATTGCTTGTATTGTCTCCATATACCACTTTTCAAGCCTACTTCTTGATTCTATCATGTAATTCCTTTTCTAAAATTTAATCACAATGTCTTATGGCTAGTTCAAATAACGTTGTTAAGGTATGAAAATAACTTCGTTTTGCTTCACAAGTTCAAGCTTACAAATAAAGCAACAATATCAGTTCAAAAGATAATCGAAACATGAGCCATGGAAGGGCTTTAAACCTATAATACACAGATGGACGGGAAAGCTTCATGCCGGGAACCTAATTTTTAATGGCGATGAAGGTAATGGACACCCATGAACAGTTGAAGAGGGCGATCTAATGGTGATAGTCGAAGATGACATTCTAAAAGCCCTCGATAGACTGCAAAGGTACTCGACGCTTACCATCATCGTTAGTGATTTGGTAACATCGGAAGGCTGAAAATTCTCTACAAATCGGTACCTTTAAAAGCCGATGGAGAACAATGAGATTGTCGTTACGCAACTACTCGTCGCCTCTTCCGCGCAACAAAGACGACCAATATCTCATATTGTGAATTATCATAAAAATGGTTAGTTTACGATATTCGATGACGTTCAGTTTCATGGTTACGCCAAGATTGATCGCCAGAGGGAATCGTCTCCTGTAACGTCTTGAATCTTAGCGAAACTGTGATGACAGTGAAGTACTGTTATGAAATCGAGGACGTGAATCAAAATTTGCACCTTTCTCTCTTCAGCTTCGGTCAATGGAGAGATTCCAGCATTCCTGCAGATCAAACTCACGACTACGCACTGCATAAATTACATGTTAATTGTAGCAATTAACGAATTGTGCTACAAAATTCTGCCGTTGTTCACTATAATCATCGTGCACCTTCTAGACAACGATCAATTCCTTCAAGTATCTTGACAACCAAGAAATTCTTCAACAACCAATCCGCTATTGTAAGTATCCTCAGCGAATTTTTCCACTTTTATAACTTCAGAGTTTTACATAACAGGTATGTAGGCATGCACCTTGCTTGCAGAAATCTGCTGATTAAAGTGATCTTGGAACGACCGCTAAAGTTATGTTTTAGTTGTGTTATAATGTTTCGAATTTGTCGTTAAAAACTACCGTTATTTTTTGCTTCGACCTGAAATTGGATGATTCATATAATTGTTAAAGTGTCAGTAATGTGTTCTTTCAATTGTTTCATTTGTGCGGATTCAGTTGTCATCTTCTCTCCTGACCGATATGCCCGTCGACCGTGATTTTCTCTGGGATCCCGAAATAGCTGTGATAGGGCATTCTCATTTTGTCACCACGGCCAGACGGCGGCTCTTGTTGATCGTAAAGAGACATGATGCTTTGCGACAAGGATTCTTCCAGAAAAGTAGTAATTCCAGTGACGGCAGCAAATCGTTGACCAACTGCTCAAAATCGAACTGCATCTAACACATAAAGATGTTTTGATAAGATTGTTGCAATATTCAGCGATAAACCGCTACGCTCTATTATTAAAGCAATATCTAATCCTTATTGTTATAGCAAAAGTGGTTGTTCCAATAACATTTGTATAATTGGTGTGTTGGAAATGATTAGACAATTGACGTAATGAATGTTCGCACTGTCCGTTTCCATTCGTCACGCAGACGGCGATCTTCCCGTTCCGTCATTAAAGGTGAAAAGCTTAGCTTAACATGGTATCGATCAATGAAATGTGAACTGTATTGGTGTCGAGTAATGTAAATCGACGAGATTTTCATTCACATAACGGAAGTGAGCTGATATTAGCTGTATGAGGCCGTTCTTTCCTTTACATTATGCTCAGGACGTCTTCTAGATCAAAATTATTGCCATGAGGAAAATCTCATTCCTATCACAATCTTATGCTGTTCAGTTTCATCTCCTTAATTCCTTTTCGTATTGAAATCGTATACACTCGCTTTGCAAGCCATCATGAATTTTAATAGGCGTTGTATTTTTATTCCAGAAATCCGGAAGAAATTCAAGCACATTCCAGTATGATGTTTACGTTATTATTTATGTTGTCGATGTTCACTTCTTGTTATGTAGAACAAGTGAATTTCTGTAAAGAAGCCAAAGACTGTCAAACGTGCGCACAATCGTACACACACATTTTTGGATTTCGTGAACATTGCAGGTGACATTTTTTTTCAATTTTTTTGGGCTTAAGTTTTTCTCTATTTATTCATTTGGACCATGTTCTTGTCTATTTACTCGACAAGCTATCAATGTGCGCAGTCAGTCAAATTCTCGCAAATCTTGTTTTAACCTTATTTGCTACATGACCGGTCATCACGTCTGCTGTGCGGATCCCAGCACTTCCTACATTCAATTGATTCACCTCGTACTCGTTTGCCAAAAGGTCTACGAATATTTCGCATGTTGCAAATCCCAAAACTGACTCCTTGTTAGCCTAGGCACTGATCAATAATTCATGTCAAGTTAGCCTTTCCAGGCTCTGAAGAAGGCAAAACTGCAGGAACATCAGCTACTATGTATTAATAAATACCATAATAACAACCTTGTATTTGGTCATTGGCGAAAAGAGTGAATTTTGCGTGCTCTTTCCGTTGCTGCTTGAGGATTTTGTCCTCTCTGTAAATGTCGGAATACTAGTCGAAGTCGATTCTCCTTCCAATCCTGGAGATAGCTAAGCTAAAGCGTTCCCACGTGGATTGGAGAGGAGCGTTGGAGAGGAGATCAAAAGAGCACCTTGCTTTTTGGTGAAATGCATCACTAACCACTCATTCATCAATATCATGACAGATATTATACTTGGGAGGAGAGAGTCTCTATGTCACCTTGACGATTCCTCTTTCCTACGTCCAACTTGGTATTTCGTAGAGTTGCTTGAGTTGCATGTTAAGATTTCAAGGTTCCTAATTAACTGAGATCCAATTAGACTGCGTTGTTGCCTAGAAACGGAGACCTACACAAGCACCTTTAGCTGTTCCTAATTGAATCACTTCTTCGACAGAGGTTATTCTCGTCGGGTCTACTGCAACTTCACAACCACAATTTCGTCACTCAAAACGGTTTTGACGTTTGTGTTAACAAGGAGTATTGGGAAGGTAATTCCAGCTCAACAATCACTTTCAACACTTAGCCAGGGATAGCTGAAAGTCATAGGCCGATGAAGCCGAAAACGCGATTTCATACAAAGTGTGCTAGTTGGCCAGTGGATTAGGGAGTTTGTCGGATTTGTCTTTCGTCCGCCAACTGTACCCGGAACGCTCAACTTTGCTTGAATTCTCCACGCGGGACTTTTTGAGTAACTGCCGTGAAAATCTCGTGTTTGGGTTATAATAGTTTATAGCAATAACAACGGCACAATAATAATATGTGATATGTGACGATATGTGGTTAGCTGGGTGGATATGAGAGAGATTGAAAAGAACAAGTGATACACTTGAAAGAAGCTAGGCGGACACTGGAGTTGGAGCAGTGAAGAACTGAGAGGCTGGAGGATAAGCACCAGGGGTTGGAACCCAGGCACTGGTAGATTGGATGACAGAAACTACTTTTTATGACTACTGGTGCTCCTTATATTCTGTCTCTAATAGGTGGGGTTTTACACAAGAAGTTAGAGATAGCGCTGACTCAAGGCGTGACACAGTACATGAGGAAAAGTACATCAGATAAGACGGTATTCCAGAGGTTTCGTCAACATAGAACATAATCAGATAGCGAAGGAATAGCTCGTGGAGAAAGGCTATCTGAGAAGCGATACAAAGGCTTATGAAAAGGTCATGTGAAAGAGATGGAATGGCCTGTACAAAGGCTTTTACGGAAAGCATATGTCGAAACGGTACAAGGACCTATGCATTATGAGTGGATAGATTTAAGATAGTTATAAGTAAATAGTTGATATAGGAAACATGTGATATTATAGAGAATAGGAACTATTTAAGGAATAGCTGCTATACAAAGGTTTGTTGAAACAAAAAATGTTTTGGAAGGCAATGGTCAGAATAAAATCTTGTGGCCTGTTCACATTGTAGAGCGTCATTATACGTCACTCTAGACGATTTCCTAAATGTTCAGACTAATTCCATTTATTCCACGCAAATGGCTTGTTTGCTTAAAAATTAAAGCAATTCATTTCAAATGAAACTTCCACATTCACAGCCTTTTGTTACGAAGATTACTTTATACTTGATAGTTGAATGCCCCGTCCTCACTGGTTGTGTGAGCCCCAGCATAATCTCCATTTTTCGAAGATTTGCCGGTTGAGCTATTGTGGTTTCCCTGAATTCCGAAGTCAGCCTCGGCCAAAGTCTGCCTCAGGTCTTCACCACCACAGGCAGTCGCAGACCTAGTGCAATAGAGGGAGGTTTGCCACCATGCGACTTTAATACCAATACGGTGATGGGTCCTAGTATTGCTTTACTCTTAACTAGGCTTTCTAATGGAAACGTTGGGCTTTTTTTCAGCTGGGGAGATTGAAGGAGGAATGAATCCACCGCCGTACATCACAGTCCGACACCCGAGAACACCTCCCAGCCACGATAACGCGGTAAACCGTTGGGACGGTTACGAAGATTATTAGCAATAAAGTAACTAATGGCAGTTTTTCTAAATGTAGCTCAGTTTTCCAATGATTGGATTGAAATTCCAGCCAACTGTTGCCGATTTTTTTTTCCGAATGAAGGCCATTGTCATTATCCTTATAAATGTCTCATGGGGCGCGACATCCGATGCAATTGGTCATGCTCCTAAAAGGGCAAGAAATCTCACTACAATTCAATATTTCTAGAACTGATTTTATAACGATTTGCTTTTTCTCTATTTCTTGTCTTTTTCGCTTTTTTTTATAGAAATATTCCTACCTTGGATTGCTGAGTACATTAATTTTCCTGCGTTACACATTTTTAACACTATATCTGTGACCTATAACGCAACCATTCGTGTCCGCAGTGCAGGCATTCGAAAGCTGGAACCAAGAGAACTTTTTATGACTATAATATACTAAATGGAGAGATACTTTCTCAAACTTTTTCTTTCTAGAACTAAATAGAGAAGAACACATGGTCACATTATATTGAAGAAAAATGCAATGAAAGTCAAGTATTTGGAGTATATAACATCTAAAGAAGTTGGTTCATAATGTTCACATAATTGTGTTCATAATAAATTCTGCAACAGATGAAAAGAGATTTTGTTGGGAAGTGCTTTCTGTACATTTAGGTGGTGTGTGGAGGCCAGCCTTTGTGTTGGTCCTCTTGCGTGTCCTCTTGGAAAGGCTGTCGTACAACGTTATCCGTTCAGGTGTCCAACAACAGTTAGTGTTTACAGTCGTTCATTTCATGGCTTCAAAAAGTTCAAACCACGATTAGAGAGATAAAAAGTAAATATTGCATTGAACTTTACGAGTATTAGTATTTCGCTTTTTGTTAGTGAAATAGTTCCAGATTAAGAGTATTTGCAAAACTCCGGACCTCAGGTGTCTGCAGTGGAGAACGAACGCGCTACTACCCTTTCCGGGGAGTAGCGCGTTCACCACCACACCATGCTGGTCTTTCGTTTCCCTGTCTCTCAGCAGGATTAATCTGAGGAGCCCACATGGGCATTGAACCCAGTTAAACTGAGGTTATAGTTGGAATCACGACGTTACAAACGTTTAAGTGCAACTTTTACTTCACGTTATTATGCGAAATGCAACAAAACTGTAGTAGGCAGAAAATAAAAAGTAAACATTGTGATTTCAACTACATCCTCAGCTTAACTGGGTTCAATGCAGATATGTGCTGCCCACAGCAATGCCATTGACGGCTGATTGCTTATGGCAATGATCGATAGAACTAGCTTAGAGACAGACGAAACTAAGCACCGGCGTGGTGTGGTCGTGAACATCTTTGCCCTCGCAAAGGGTAATATCGCGTTCGCTCACCACCGTAGACACCTGCGCTCTGGAGTTTTGCAAATATCTCAGCACCTTTGTGGTCGTATTTCGCTTAATGCTCTGCCGTAAAATTTGTAGTTGGCAGAAAATAAAAACTAAGCATTAACAGTATTATTCTGCTTGACCTTTTCTCTGTTTTTTCCCTAGGTTTTTCTTTCCTCTACTTCTTGGGTGTATTGCCCCTTTCTTAGTGACGATTTGTGCTGTTTTCAATAGTAGTTTCTAGGAAACTTGAAATTCCCCCAGTTTTGCTTAAATCTGTTCAGACTCTTAGTTGTAAAATTATTCGCGATTACTTCATTTTTTTCCATTGCAGTTAATTTCTCATGTAGAAGACTGCAATACAATTGGAATTAATTCAATTTTCAGTACTCTACCGCTAAAGGAAAACGATATACGGATGCACTTGGACGTTCACTCTATGCTTTTGTTCTTTCTCTAAAGCACCATAATGTGACGGAATGTTTACATAATCTTAGGACGGATATCATGTAAGTTAATCGGCTAATAAGCTCAATATAAAAACTATTTTTTCCGCATGTTTTTCATACAGGGCGCATGCGGCGCAGTGGTCGGAGGTGCCCTGTAATACACATTGATCGATGCCAGCGCCTAAGGCTCACTAAACCTTCCATCCTTCCGGGATCGGAAAATTGGCACCAGACTTGTCTGAGAAGAAAGGAGCACCGATTCGGTACATCAGTATGCCATTGCGAGTCAGTGTATAGGCCAGATATGCATTCAATCACCTCCAAACGTTGCTTAATGAAGTCGAATGCACGGGGCACACCTAAGGGATTGATCAACGGCCAGCGCTTTATCCTTTATTTTATCTTTTAAGTGTTTTATACACTAAACAGCAGTTTTTCCAATGGTCATGGATGTTTCATGTGCATCATTTTGGTCGGTATTATAGAGGTCAAAACGATATGCAAAGCTTGCGACTAATTGAATCAAATATTAGAAGTTATTTCTTCGTCTTTCGAACGCTAAATTTTATTGAATGGACCGAATTTTTTAATGTTTCTACTAAAAGTGTAGATTCCGGATCTAGCATTCTGTTCATCGGAATGGTCATCTCAGTAGACCGTGTAGTTACTTTAGATTTACAATTTTCTTCGCTTAATGCTCTAATTTGGAGCGAGCGTTGCGCACTGAATAGAATCGCTCCGGTCTCTCGTTCGGTCCCTTACTGGTAAGCTTTAATCTTTCCGGTGTGAGCAAATTGCATCGAGAGTTGTCTGGAAAGATAAGAACATTGAATGGATGAACCAGCAGAGCACCGCGAGTGATTCTAGAGGCCAAATGCGCATTCAATTACCTCTATGATGATTTCTCACAAAAGGAACACCTTAGTCTCATTCACCTTAACAGTTCGTTTCAGTTTAACTCGAACCTATCGAATCGAATGTGACAGTTCTGGTAACTTTTGTGTCGGTATGTTAGCTGTTTCCGACGAGGCCAAAGCTATCTATATTGTGTTCAAAGACACCACGACAAGAAAACAGGTGGAGTTTCATTGGAATTTTAGTACTTTTTTTTTGTTCTTTGTGTGTTGAAATTCCATAATACAGCAGTATAAATCGAGTGTTACCTTCAGCTGGCCACAGAACTCCTAAATGGTCTCGGTGCCCAGTTCGGTGCTTGGGAAAAATTTGAAAGCATGGATGCCGGTGTGATTTCCTATTTTCACAATGCATTTTACAAGTGAGTTTTTTTGTTACCCAGTCAATAATTTGTGTAATCATCGAAGTTATCATCTCTATTAACAGTGCACGTTCCATTTATATCACCAATTTATTAATGGTTAAGCTGATTATTTTCTTTTTGAAGAGTCTTCGTCGACACTGGAATGAAGGACGAATTCCTTCAGCTGCAGAAAAAATATCCAGGATATCGAATATGGGTACGGTCTTAAAGTGGTCTTATTTGAAAACGAACTGGTAAGGACGAAATTTTGATGCCAATGAAGAAGGATTTCCTTCCGAGATATCCAAGTCTAGCGATAGTTAATTTCCTAAAAGTACAAAAATTAGACCTCATCCAGCTATTTTTTGAATTTTGGTCGGTCTATTATTTACTAAAGCATAAATATTCATAAATCACATTCTATGACAGAATGAGCAAGGCTACGGTAACGGCTTCACGAAGTCCTTTGGTTAAACCTATCGCTACTTTTACTCTGCTATTTCCAAGCATGTAAAAGTTTATGCCTTTAAAACTTCACATTCACGTAAAGAATTCTCTAGGTACTTGGAGTAGAGAGAGCTGTCTCCATAATGCTACTTATAATATTAAGTCCATACATATATACCAATTTGCTATATGCTCCTGTAAAATAAATCAAATAAATCAAAGGACAGGAATCAGGGAATGCAGGAATTAAACTCATTACAGATAACCGGCTTTTCCTTAGGAGGTTCTTTAGCGTCGATGGCGTCCGTGTATTTAGCGAAGAAACAACTTGTCGACAAAAACCTTGTGAGTTTAAAATAAAAAGAAAATTTTGGAAACTAATGGATCGGAATCGGTGCATTGTGAGTAATGCCTACTATGATGAAATTTATAATAGTACTTGTATAAATTGTTACATGCACTAATATCGAATGCTCCTCGTTCGTAGATGGTTTATGTAATTAGTTAAGAGGTTTAACATTATTGTCTTACCTTTATTAATCTTGATCAGCTTTTGTAATAATGTCGTATCTCCTCTCAGTTACGATTGGTTACATTCGGTGAACCGCGAACGGGAAATGTCGCATTTGCAAGGGATGTCGAAGAAAATGTTGCGTTCCGTTATCGAATAGTGAAGAGAAATGATTTTGTAAGTTCACAAAACATAAATGTCGACCAACCAACTGATTCTACAACTAATCTGATTATATCCAATGAGTGAAATTTTGACCATTTTGAGCACCATGAACCGTTTCGCACACCGTTATAAGCCCCATTTATTGAAGAGGACAATATATGGATAGACATCTACCATCATAATATTAGAGCTTTCTTCTAGTGGAAGACAAATTACCAGCAATGATGTGCATATTGTAAGATTCATCGTTATTTGGTAATTCTGGTTTATCGACTTCGCTTCCACTCATGCCTTTTTACAATAGAAATTTATCGGCCGACGTTATTCTTATTATTGTAAAAAGGACTGAAAATTTTCCAAAATACGTGCTCATGTCACCTATATCACCTCGGCTCTGGAGCTAAGCCGTTCATCACATTCATATACCTCCCTAGATAACATAACTGGAGCATTCGGAAATATTCGTACCGTTAAGCGTGAATGGGGCACATGAAAGCAATCTGTTCCTAATAAACATCGTTTTTGTGGGATTTGGATGAAGACCAATCTTTCCACAGGCTTTATCAAAGTCGGCAAGCACCGCTTGATTAATATTTGGTGTTATAAGGACGTTGTCATCAGCAAAGTGAAGATGGTGTAATTGCCAACCATCGATTTTCACTCCCATATTATCCCATTCCAGTGTTCGCATGAGGTTCACGAGGATGCCGGTAATTAATTTGGCGAGATGGTATCGCCTTGAATAACCCCTCTACCGATGTCGGTGTTAATACGTTGTAGAATGATATTATCTTGGTGGTGAAATTTTTGAACAGCTCACGAAAAATGTTTATACACTGAGTAGGGACTCCCTAACTATCAAGGGCTTCCAAAGCTGCTTTTATCTCAGTTGAGCCAAAGGCCTCTTTCAAATGAATTAAAGTGAGACAGAGCGGTCTTTTGTACTCTCGCCACCCTTCAAGGAGTCTTAATATCGTGTAGATATAGTTCATAGTATTAAATCCTTTTCTAAACTCTGCTTGCTCACATGGCTGTCATTCGTCTAGTGTTCTGTCAATCCTGTTTATAATGACTCGAGTGAAAAGTTTGTAGACAACAGAGAGTAAGCAGATAGTGCGATAGTTGCCAATAGCATGTAGGTCACCCTTCTTGAGCAATGACACGGTCATGCTGGTCTTCCACTGAGTAAGGACCTTACATTCAGACAGGTATCGTGTGAAGGGCCGAGCAAGTGTGTTTACGAGGACTGGCCGAAGGTTCTTCAGGTGTTCTGGTCTTGTCCTGTCCGAACTCGGTGCTGTTCGATTTTTCACCGACGAAATGGAATGCCGGACCTCGGAAGGAAGAACCGGTGGTAAAACATATCCATCCTCCTTTATTTCATCTGACGGAAGGTGGACGTGGCTATCGACGAGATCTGAGTAGTAATCGTGAATGATTTTCTCCTTTGCCTTTCTGGACGCTGTAACTGTTCCGTCTGGGCGTCGGAGTGCAATCACCTTGGTCTTGTAATTGACGAAGCTTCGGTGGGCTTTACGAATGCTTTTCTTAGCCTCTGCAGCTTCGACCATTACTGCTACTCTTCTCTCTTTAAGATCTTTTATCGCCTGTCTGCATTGTTTTGCAAGTTCGGACGTTAGTTCGCTGTTGCCAGCAGATCGTGCGATTCCACGCTGGCGTATTAGCTCGAGTGTTTCTGTAGACAAACGTCTCTTGGTGACTTTTGAACTCTCAGTTTTCATAGAGCAAACGTGAAGATGTTGAATGAGCCGATCGTATTCTTCATCGATGTTATCGACAACGGCATCATCCCAGCAGCCGACTGAGAAATTGAATAAGTCCCAGCTTACGGTGGTTTTAGGACATCGTTTTCTGAATTAAGATGATTTTCTCGTACCTGCGAAAAATTGCATCATACGCGATGGAGGCGAGGCTCTGATCCTTTGTAGAATTTTGTGACAACAACGACATCGGTAAGGCAAAACTTCCTATTTACTACGGTGTGGTCTTTTTCGTTATGGCTTTCTTCATTGGGAGACTTCCACGCCCAGCGTTATGGGTTTGGCTTCTGGAATTTCGAGGTCCGAAAATGGTCTCTGTCGTCATGACAAACTCAGAGAGCCGCTCGCTCTTCTCGTTCCATTCTAATCCGTGGATCCCAATGGGACGTTCCTCAGACGTTTTCAGATCCCACATATTAAGAACTACCAACTTTAGTGGTAGTACCAGGTTTCTGCCAAGATTATGGCAGATTTTGGAAGCTATTATTGAAGTATCTTTATAAGATTAGTTGTCGTTATAAGAATCGTTGGAATATGCACATTTTTGCTAATAACGCAAATGTCGAAGTGCTCAAAGACGTTGTAACCTGCTGAAGATATAACGCCCAGTCAGTACACGGGGTTTGTAGCTCAGTTCGTTTAACTTCCACCATTCAAGTTGTCATCGAGTTTTGTTACGTAAGTCTTCTCTGGATCGATGCTACTGATGCATCCATTAAAATTTTCCTTCGACTTCGTTTTTGTGATATCGTTTTTCTTTTGCGATTTGGCGATGTGGAACGTTTAGATGAATTGTTTCTGGAGCAGTTCATCAGTTCATTTCCAAAATTTTTTTGATGCAGGTTCGACTTTAGGAATTCTTTAAAAGGTTCATCTCTGTCTAACCATCTTATTAAACGTCGTTAATTGCTGCGGACTTCACAACGACGATTTCTTTGCTCGCTTCGGTCCATGTATTTGTCGAGCTTTTAAATCTTTCCAGTGTTTTTTGTATGGCGAACTTCTATTGGACGTTAACGTTTCGTTCCACTATCATAGCATGAGCACGTTTAGATTTCGAATGACAGCTTAATATGGTCGTGTTCAACACCTGATGACAACCCACAACCTTATTGCTCTGCAAGGCTTTGAAAAATATCTGCATTTCAACTTTTACTTACTGCCTATTCTTCTTTCATGGAAGGGTGAGATGTGAGACATTGCCCCCAAGGTGATGAGATAAAATCAAAACTCTGAACCTCGGGCGTGCTTCGTACTCGCAAGTACCTTTTCCGGTAGCTCACGTGCTGTCCACCACACCAACGCTGCCCTCGCTCTGCTTTCCTCTCAGCTGGGGCTTTACTCTATCAATGCTATCAGCAGTCACTAGTCAATGGGAATGATCTAAAGAACGCAAATCGGCATTGAACCTAGTTGAGCTGAACCTACAGTCGAAATCGCAGTGTTTTAACTTTTATTTAGTGTTTAATCTTTTTGATGACGTAGTGATGGCTGATAGTATCGTAAGAGCAACTAGCTCAGAGGAATACAACAAATTCGGTTGGTGTAATGGATAACACGTGGGCTCCCATAGAGCGTAGTCGCGGTTTCGAACTTCACCTGACGTTCCGATATCTTCTCAAAGCTTGTTCACTAGTCCTTTCTTGGCCCATGCATTGATGATTTTTAAAGTGGCTAATGTTGTTTTATGAAGACATTTGAGCTTATGATGCCGAACGATATATTTTTCAAAAGCATTATTTTTAAGTTTTAGAAAGTGTACGATACCGTAAATAGGCATGCAGAAAGCATGTTATGGCAAAATATTTTCCTAAAAGCGACAAAAACGGAACCTATCATTATTCTTGCCACAGCGTATTAGAGGCAGAAGCCAAGGACTGTGAGAGATCATTGTGAATTTCTTATCAAATGACGCCAACTACTGTAGGAAATAATTGTATTTTATTTTTTAGAGCATTGCATTGATTTTATCCGACTTAATAACTGAATTTTCAGTTTGCTAGTATTCCACGATCCGCAGATCCAACAACCTCACTTATAACGGCTACGAATTTTGAAAGGCAACCATTGTTTTATCGCTATCTGGTTCATTACGACAACAATATGAGTAAAGGAAGCGATTTTAAAGTAGGAATAGTTTCGAATTTTTATCTGAACTCGTCATTTGTTTGGTCATCTGATTAATTTATCGTTATCACATACTTGAATGCTCGAGCGATTCTTCTTCACTAACTGCGAAGAATATCGTGGGTCCTAACCTCAATTTAAATTCGATTTGTAATTCGGTTAAGCGAGATTTTTTAACCTGGAGTTTCGAAAGCCTTCTTCGCGCTTCGCAAAGTGACAACTGAAGTACAAGCTACTGACTACATTGTTGCCAGGATGACAGTCTCACACTAGATTCACTAGTTTGTTCTTGTTTGTGTTGTCCTTGGACAACATTCAGGGCTAGTGAAACATTTTCTCCCTTCGGCGTCGGGACATTAGTCGCAGACGTGCCTGGGACAGGCTCACTTCCTATAATACTCGTGTGAAAGCTTAATAGGGCTGCTTTAGGATTTTGGGGACAAATCGACTAAACCGGAAGTCGTGCAAAAGAAAACATAATGCAGTATTCGTGATGAGGACAAAAAAAGAAATCCTCATGCCATCATCGAAAGCCACACGAAAGAAGTTATAGGACCCTCGTGGAGGTGAATACGAGGAAAAGAATCGCATACTTTAAGTGCTGGGATCTTCACAATGATACATTTCATGTTGGATCATGGAGTAAAAAACGTTTATTATCATCTGGGATTCCACATGAAAATGGTGAGCACCTTCTCTGCTTGAGAGACCTTGCTTGGGAAAGAATTCCTGCTGTACATCTCAGTTTGACACCTAAGAAATCAAACAGCCACGGTGATGTGGTAAACTAGGAATTATGACATTATACATAGATAAAACGTACATACAGCGCAGTCATCAAAAGTACTCTGCAATACACATGTGGTTTTTGGTTCAATCCGTTGTCCCACGCCAAATGGGCTTTCTATCTAACTGGTATGGGCACTTGGTAATAGAATTTTCTTGACAATAAAAACAATGACATTAGGCAAAGTAGGCCAGTACAAGTCATTGTATAGGCCAGATATGCATTCAGTCTACGACGTTTTACGAAGGGTTCAAATGCATAGCGCATCCATCACGGATTAATCGCCTCCAGACCCCTTATGCTTTATCATTCATGCAATTAATCTAGGATACTAGGATAACTGGGTGTTCCATCTTCACTAGTTTTGCGGACCACAGCATAATTTCCACTTTTCGGAGTTTTGCTGGTGTAGCCATTGTGGTTCCCTGGAGTCCCAAGGTTCTGGGCTCGCTGATGAAAACGGCGGACTCTTCAGCTTGATGGACCCTGCTGGTAGGACGATTCCCCCCACTGCAAATGTCAACCCGACACCCAGGAACACCTTCCAGCCGCGATTAGGCGGTAAACCGCTGGAAGGATCGACAATTTGTAGGATTTATACTGTGCATTTTAGATATGTGGCCTTTCTGATGATTTTGGTTGCCGAAACACCATGCTAGCAATGGATCCTCTTGATCATATGACCTATTTCAACATTGATCATACCAACTTCTCCACCCAGCGATGTCGGCGTGACGTACTTTTTTGATGAATCCGTATCTGATGTAGGAAATCTTGGATGAAATGCGTACCTCCTTGTTTACATTATTGCCGTTATCAGTACGAGTTGTACAAAAGCGAATTGTTCAGTGTTTTATTGTATCCGCTTAAGAGCTACTTGTTTCATTTCTTTGTACTTGAGCATCAGCATCGCCTAGTAGGATTGAATGGAATAAGTGGTTTCATTATCACGAATTATTCGTTATATTGTAACTTATAGTGCTACAAGTGTATTTTCCATAATGTTAACAATGTGACATTTTGAAAAGGCAAAAAACTAAAGAAAAACATTCATACATTCCAGAACTTTAAGCCAGAGTTCATTTGTGATATGTTAATGTCACCATAGCTATGGACCTGTAAGGATTTATTTCTAGAATCAGGTTCTTTCCTAGCAGACGAGTTTTCACTTTTTTCGATCTTATGTTGCCTATGCTTCACTTATCAGATATTAATAAATGAATCTCGAATGCTAGATTTTGTGCATTACTTGGCATAATTGATACTTGGTAGTTGAAAGGCAAATGGATTGTTTGCTTAAAAATTGAAGCAATTCATTTCAAATCAAACTTCCACACTCACAGCCTTTTGTTACGAAGATTATTTTATACTTGATAGTTGAATGGCCCGTCCTCACTGGTTGTGTGAGCCCCAGCATAATCATTTTTCGAAGATTTGCCAATTAAGCTTTTGTGGTTCCCCTGAATTCCGAGGTCAGCCAGGCCAAAGTCTGCCTCAGGTTTTCACCACCACAGGCAGTCTTGTGCATCAGAGGGAGGTTTGCCACCATGCGACTTTGATGCCAGGACGGTTGTGGATCCTGGTATTGGCTTACTCTTAGCTAGGCTTCCTTATGGAAACGCCGGTCTCCTTCTCTCCTTGGAAGACCCTGCCGGGAGACAAATCCCCCCGCTGTGCATCGCTGTCCGACACCCAGGAGCACCTCCCAGCCACGATGAGGCGGTAAACCGTTGGGAGGATTACTTGACATACCGTTTCGAACATTTGGAGAATTTAAGTGGGCTGATTGTCAATGCAGTAATTTAAGGTTCTGAAGATGGCTACCCAATCTACTCACTCTGAAGTAAACAGCATGTAAATCCGATAGTGGCTCGTAAAGTGCACAAGAACTTTACAAAAACACCAAAGATCTAGTGGAAAAAGGTTGGGTTAGAGGAACGTTTGTGCATGAGGATGATCTGAAAATTCGTTGAACAATTGTGAAATTTGATATGACACCAAAACAGGAATCCTTTCCATAGCGCCAATTCTTTTTTTTCGGGTCATTTCATCTAATTCCTGTTTTCAACACTGCACTCTTATGAGGTTTTTTATCCAGTTGATTTCGTTACGCGCTAACTTTTTGTTCTTTCCTTGGCTCCACTTTACAGGGGGATTCGCTTGAAAGTGGCACAACACTCATTTAGTTAATGATTCTGTTTCGGAAACATTTATTTGAGACAACAAACATTTACTATACAAGTAGGTTTACATTGTGTGCGAGAGATAGAGCGGAACGTCTTTGCTAATTTAATTAGTGCTGTAACCTATTCTTAATGGCATTATCACGACTTTCTTCGTATGAAAAGTGTATCAGCACCAGGATTGACATTCGTTAGGAACACCATCCTTTCGACAATGCCTTCTACGGTGATAAGAACCAATTTATTAAGAAACTGAGTCCAATACTGGCGAATTATTTTGCATATGCAGCTTTGTAGTTTGTGCGGCTTAGTGGTTGGAGATGTCTTGCTATACACGTGAGCACAGGTTGATCCAGAGTTCAGAGCTGATAAATCTCTCCCTTCCTAAGGAAAAAATGAATTGCTTCCAGACTTACTTTGGGAGTGAAACTACTCTATTTCGTGAATTGGAAGAGCATCGCAAACTATTGAGTAGGCTTCGTATTGCACCCAATCACCTCTACGATGCTACGAATGGAGTAGAATGTGCGGTATAACCTCAGGGATTTATTCAACGCAGAACTTTTCATGTATTGTGCTCAATTTAAAGTCCGTTTAAGGTAAAAACGTAAAAATAGTAGGACACGAAGAACATTGAAACCGAAGTACAATAACGAAGCATTAGCACTTTCCAAAGTAATCCACGACACGAAAAGCGCCCGCAACCGCCGTATAGTTTTAAATGAAGTGACCTCTAAAGTAGAGTCAGTTACATTATAGAAGTATTGTAAAGTCCAGGCATGTTGTTATAGGTTGGCCGATATGCCATTTTTTAGCCAGAAAAAATAACTCGTATAGGATGCGCTATTGTTACCAAACTCTTTTGCAATACATTGAAGAACTACACACCCTTTCTAGTCACTCAATATAACTGATCTTTTTAGAACAACCGAAAGAAATGTTATTTTACACACGGTATCGTCCACACTAATAGATCATTTTTGAATAATGTGTTGATCACCCCAATTGCTTATCCACTTCACTTTTGAGACTATCTGTTTTCACTCTTCATGGCAAGGAACGGGACCTACGTTTAGTCAAGTGCTAGAAAATCTGTCATTTTGCTCTGATCTTCATCACAGTTCATTGTTTAGCTTCGTCGGAGCACAGTGAAGCAGACGTGAGTCTTAATTGTTAGAGACTACTTATGACTCTCCTCCCTAGCAGCGACAAGGTAATCAAAATGCGTCTTTGTCTTTGGATTACACCCAATCTTCGGTTGCTGCCTTACAATTACGTCGCGATTAACGGGCCTGAGATTGCTGATATGTGAAATTATATGCACTAATGAGAAGTCTTTCACTGATCTCCCTCAAGGAGAAATCTCGTACCAAATAGTTACGAGACAACCTAGTAGATTTCCAGGTGACGGATAGGGGGTTGATCTAGGACCCCAGGCACTTCTACTCTTCCTTGAGAAGCATGTAGATCCAAGAGATGGACCCACTGCTTCTGCCAATCTAACATATTCCCTCTCTTTTTAGAAAGACATTCATGCATGCGCACGTGAGTCTATTACCGTTTAAATGGATTGTATTCTACCAGTCCTTTCGGCCAAAAGCATAGAATTCAGGTGAGTGAGAAGTATTTGACAAGCGTATAGAAGCTACCCCTGGCAAACAGGCTCCTCGTCTACTCTGGAAGAAAATGGTGAGCTTCCTATAAACATATCCAGCCCTACGCTTAGTGCTCAGTATGTATTGTCTCAAAATTCTACGCAGGATCAGAGCATCGCCTCCTTCAGGCGACATTTCATTTCTGGCGGAAAGGAGTAAGAGTTGCCAATTTCAAAGAACGAAGTCTCAAAATCACTTTAAACTAAGGCTTATATGGACCATTAGACAGCTACTGTAAAAATGCCTTTATTGGTAAAATCGACAAGAAACAGATTGTTTCATTCAACGTCTTTACATTAGCGCTATGAAAAATAAAAGTTTCAAAGTCTCCAAAAGACGTATTTCTCCAGAAAAGACTCGAGCTGACACTCTAACATGGCATCGGACAAGCCACAGCAACCGACAATGAGTGAGAAAAGCAACAGTTATGGCCGAAGCTTCAGAGACTGGAAAAAGTATTCGCGAAGCTTACCGAAACTTCTGCAATTACAAGACCAAGATCATAGCACTGTAGACAGAACACTGACAGCTTCCAGAATTGCAACGGAAAAAAATGATCCATGATTACTACTCGGATCTATTTAATAACCATGTTCTAACCTCATGTAAAGTAGGAGAGGATGGACAAATCGTCCCACAAGTGTCTCCTGCCGAAAATTGATACCTGTTTTGTCGAAGAAGAATGAAATGACAGTTGCTCTAAAGAGGACAAGATCGGAACGCGAATGGGAATCTGGAGAACCCTCCGCTTGTCCTCATCAATACATTATCCTTGCTCTTTACACGTTATCTGTCAGAATACAAGATTCCAATTCAATGGAAGGCCACCAAAACTGTGTTATTGCTCAAAAATGGTGAACTCAATAATAACGGCAACTATCGCCCAAACAGCTTGCTGTATGTGGTTTGCAAACTCCTCACTGGAGTCATCCAAAACAGGATTGACAGAACACTGAACGAAGGGCAGGCGTGTGAGCAAGCAGTGTTTTGAAAAGACTGGGTACGATGGACCACATCCACACAAAAATAACACTCATTGATTCATTGCTAGAGTACAAATGACCGCTCCGTCCCACCTTCGTCCATTGACTTTCAGCCGTTAAACTTCCTCAGTATTTCAATAGATTTATATGGAATTCGGCCAACGTACGAAACAACGAGGCAGACAAAAGAGAATATTAGCAACATATTTTACAAGAAGGCAGTTTCTTTGGAAACGTTTGCGCTCCGTCAAACTTATCTAAGCATTTAGGCGTTACTTTGATGTTGGGTGACCCATTGAACGTCACCATATGTCGCAAACACCATCAACTATAAGTCCACCCGTCCCATGGCGGTGATATGAGGCCTCTCCAGTTCCTCTAAAACTGTGGTATGAATGAAGTAAAGATCATGAGAGTTGATTCGAAAATAATTATAACATTCTGTAGGCAGCTAGATTTTTTCGGGACTCAGAAGCCAAATCACAAAATGTGTCACACTTTTATCTGTGTAATATATGGACTATTATCACAATAAACCTCATTATTTAAAGTTCGCATACGGTTTCATACTTGGATATTTCCACTTCGCCACCACAACCACTTACCGCCTACAATGAATCTAGAAGGTTTGTTATTTTGCGATAGTGTTTCTTCCAGAATACTGGCGATTCGTTGCATAGTTTTACTCACAGGGAGACTCCCAGTTGGAAATGCGAAAAACCTATTCGTCCTAGACTGAGACTACCACCTGGGAGTTGAACTACCTATCATATACAGTTCGACTCTAAGAGAATGAGGACAGGATTTTGAGCTGAACATCTAGGAAAACTGAAATTTTGAAGGCGTAATTGTAAAATGAGCTTGTTAGCAACAATTTCTACATAAATGAATTTTATAAGCAACATTTTAGTGCTAGAACAGAAGAAT